AGGTATTACTGTAATTTTAAACTAGTTTTCTCTTATTTTTGAATTTTGGGGATGTCACAATCGGTGAAAAAAGATATTTTATTTCTATGGTTCTTTAGACGGGAATTTTTTGATTCTTGACAACAACAATTTTTTTTACTGGCCAATGGTAGACTGAAATCCTGACCATTTTCCTTACGTGGATGTTATATGACCCATATGTAGCAAGTTATTATATAGTTTAGCAGCTACAACACTCCAACATTAATATTTTGTAATCATGTTTTCTCGTAGAAAAAAAAATATGAAAACTAGCAAAAATATTAGGGTTTGTGGAGACAAAATCTAATATTTTTGCTAGTTAGGTATTGTGTTTTATTGGTTACATGAAAATGAGGTGTGATGTTAGGGGGGGGGGGACAATGAATTTATTCACTTTATTTTTGTTGTCTTCAACATACCACATGTAAGAGAGGTAGGCTCCCCTACCTCTCTCGGTCCACACATTTTAGTTACCAAGTCAAGAAATGCCAATCACTAAACCCGTTACACCATTAGATTGCTCAACACTCAATCAACCGCTCAGGCAATGTTGATTTTGCGTTGATTGACGCTTGTGAAGGTTCAGAACTAAAGTGTTGGCGTGGTTAGTTCAGCACACATTGACACTTGAAGTCCTGTGAGAGAGAGAGAGTTAGATTGGGGGGAATAAATAGGGGGGGGGGAGAAGTGTATGGCTAACATGGCTAAACCACATTCCATGTGGTAGGTCAGGTGGTTGACCCAATGCCGGTAATGAATTATGTTTACACAATATTTTTATGATATACTTCGAGTTAGAATTAAATTTATTCTTTAAGTATTCATTTTCAGTAGAGTAAAAAGAGTCATTAGTTGAAATCTCAATAATTTGAACATTTTACTTAATTCATTGGGTACTTCTCCATTGTACCCATACCAAAATCAAAATCAGACCACACATACATGTAATCTATTTTACAAAATTTTAACAACTCTTCATCTTGCAGACAGTCTGTTTTACCCATCATTCAAGTCTTCTTTAAAATATTTTTGTCAATTTTCTTCAATTTTATCAAAAATATTATTTTTGTTTTAATATGGCTGTACATTACAAATCTCTGATTTAAAATGTGTCTAACAGACTGATATTTACTGTACAACATTCTTTAGTTAGTATTTTCTCCTTTTATACTAACAGACAATTGCACAGTGATTATATATGCTATATTATAATGAATATGCTTAACCAAAGACCATCCAATTAATTGTAGCAGTGCATACAATTTGTATACAGTTCATATTGACAAAGAAGTTATATTTGTATATAAAATCTGCACACAATATTATGAACTTAAAATGAATTTCCATATTCCTGATTGGATTTACACTAATGTGCCTCCAGATAATAAATCAGAATTATCCCCTATTTAAATATGTAGAATTAATTTAACGAGTACTTAGATTTGCTACGGGAGGGTAAAAAAGTTTTTTGTTGTTGTAAAATGTTAATAGTTTAGTAAGAAATTGATGTATTTTCCAAATTCATTCCAAATTTGTTCATAATCAAGCAAACTACACAGTTGACTTAATCTCCTTAAGAACAACATGGGAATTTTAAATTTACAATTTTTTTGAATTTTCTCTGTAACCATTAGGCGCATAATAAGGCTTCAATAAACTAAATTATTTGTTTTTAAGCTCTACAAAATGGTTTGGAAATAAATTGTGAAATTTTGTGTTTTTAGAGTAAAAAATGGGGAAAACCTATTTTTACTCCATAAACCCCCGTTCCTATAGTCCGATCATGCTGATTCTCGAACTCGTTTGAATAAATGTAGATTTACACAAATTTCATGAAAATCGGATCATTTTTGCTTGAGTTATCGTGCTAACTGACACACACATATATATATATGAATTTGAACGGATGGTGTTTTTTGGCCTCTAGGGACCTCAAAACAAAAAAGTAAATCGGTCTCGGGACCAGGTCTTACACACTTGAACAAATTAAAAAGCATTTTATTATAATGGGAAACTCAAAACTTTCCTTTACACAACAAATTTAGAATATTTCTTTTGCTAAATATGCTGTCAATGACAGTGAAATATTCTGATTTGTGTGTATACTGTAACCTTTTGGGTTTCTTTTTCCAGAATAAACTCTGTTCCTTTGGTAAATCTGCAATTCTCACAAAAATTCTTAAATGGTCCTTATACTCCACATCCTTAACTCGTACAAAGTATACGTTGACACCTCTTACGACCCTGATCATGAACTTGCTAGGTTTATACCCCTATAAATTCCACCCAGCCCATGAAGTCCGGTTGGAGCTAGCAGCTGATCAGAGTCAGTTGAACTGGTTCGTAGTCGCTGCAACTGGTTCCGACCAGTTCAATCTGGCTGGTTAAACCTAATCAACCAGAGTTATGATGTATTGAGTTTCTGGGAGCGGAATGTACCTTTTTGCGGTGGATTTCCTCTCGGACATTGAAGGACAAAAGAAAAATACACAAAGGATATGAGAATTAGGGAATTGTTAAAAAATCCCAAAAAACTGTGTGAAGTATATTAATGTATTAAATTATCTCTAGAGTACCGGTACTAAGTTAGGACAAACTTAAGAATACTACAAGACAACAAACTTTTAATACCCTAAGAATGAAAATAGTCTGGGTAACCGAGTGGTTAGTGCTCACCTTCTAATCTAAAGTCTGCTGGTTCAATTCCAAACAAGATCGTTACTAGACACAGTCAATGGGCTGTCAAATTAATTATGCTTTCTAACAACAGGTAGACAGATAGTAAACAAGACCAAGGTTTGGAAACCTTTGGGAATTGTTTGGACCCTTACAAAACAACTTTACAGATGCCACTGGCGTGGATAGAAAAAAACTGAATGTTTTTCTGAATTGCATATTTTATGTTACAATCAATTGAATCAACTCTCGACTTGAAAAACTAAAAGAGAAGCCTCATTCCTTAACCTTATTCATCTATTTATACTCTTAGAGTTAAAACCTGTCTTAAACTATTTCATAACAGATGGGATGTCTACTTCACTATTGTAAGTTTATGCAAACAACAATGTAAAATGTCAGCTGATCTTTCAATGCCAACTCAGAAGACTCAGCTGATTTTTCAATCGATAAGAATAGGTACTCTTGCAAATCTTGCAAAGGATCAACAAACCAGTTGGCAAACTCCTAAAATTGTTTGTTGTCAGATTAAAATTCCATTTGCAGACACCCTAGACAACCAGAATTAATTGAATGGGCATCTTTTAAACTGCATTGAGTTGCTTAAAACCTCATGTTTACAACTAATCGTTAGTTAAATCAATTGTTTTCATATCTACTAGAAATACAAGATAGGAATACAAATATTTCAATCACAGACTTATTGGATATACCAAATTGCACTTGAAGGAAACATGTTCTTTGACCTTCGCTTAATTATAGTGGAGCCGCCAACTGTGATGTAAAAAAAATCCTACTAATATTAGGTGTTGAGAATTATTACGGATGATGACTTGGGGTTTTGCAACAGTTCGATAATTCACTTTTGATGTCACTGAGTAGATTTTAATCGGCAAGTTAGACTTGCTGTGAACTTTTGTTCTAAGATAGATATGCAAGGATAATAAGTATAGCTTATAGATGTAAGATGAGAATTTAACACAGTATGAAAAGCTTATAAGTCTTTGAAATGTTGTTAATGAATCTTAAATCACTAATTAACTACCAACCAAGTAAACTTAATGTTTCACTAATAAGGTTTAAATTACCTGGCTTCTGTCATCGATCCTCGGTAGTTTTATGAAACTACAGCTGTTTCATGCCTATCACTGGCACATCTTCAGGTTTGTTGAACGCCAGCTTCTTTATATAACATCCCTCGGTGTTGAGTTCGTCATGGTTACACAAAAAACATGTTGACATTTACACACACGAAAACACGCACAAAACATTTAAACATTAATTAAAGAACGACTGCGAAACGTGATGCGGCGCCGGTGATGGATAAGTCGCGACTCATCCATGTTCATTAATGTTTCAAAATGAATGAAGTTTTTGTATTCAGAAAAAGTCTGTAGTAAACAGAGGTGGTTCTAGGATCTTGTCAAGGGGGGGGGGTTGTATATGGGGTGTTCCACACCAGGAGGGGGTTCGTTGGTCCTCCCCTGGAAAATTTGCAATTATGTAAGCCGTTTGGTGACTTTTAAAGTAATTTTTAACTTCTAGAAGTGTTTTCAAATACGACAAAATGTATAGTTTATTTCATATTTCCAGTGTACATTGGGGGAGGGGGGGGGGCTTTAGCCCCAATAGCCCTCCATTAAAAAAGTTCTTTTCAATAAAAAAGTTATAGTATTTCCATTTATTTACTCATCCAAATAATCTTATTTGTTACTCATGTACAGTACCAAAAAATATGCAGTCTTAGATGCCAACGACTCTTCTAGATTCCAATAGAGAGTTGAATTACAAAGTTGGAACTTGATTCATGTGACGCAACAGTTTAGATTGTGTTACGATTCAATAAATGATGCAGAAGATTGATGCTCGATGCCATGAGGTCGAGCAGTGCAATAATTGATTGGGTGCAAGTGTCTGTCGCATCGTATGATGAGTTCTGGATGAAACCGATTATGATTTAGCTTTGATTGAGGAAATTTCGCATCATAATGAGATAAGAATACTAGGGTTTAATAATTTATTTTTGTAAAAAAATACAACCGACTTCAAACCTCACCAAATCCGAGAGTCGGTGGTTCTATTCCGAGTAGAGACAATTTTTGACCCTAATTTGTCATTGGGCTGTCACTTAACAATGTCAACTGAAGGTCAACGCCTGATCTGACGCCTGATAGTGATAATAACAACTAACAACACTAGGGTTTATACAATACCATTACAAAAACACCAAAAATGCACAAAATAATATCTAATGCCTAGAAATACATCATAAAGAATATCTGTAACTTTTCAATGTCTTCCAGGAAGTCATCACTTGTGGCTGAGGCACCAAGATGGCTCTGGGTCTCGTGGCGTCCTTAGTCGTGCTTCCCGCAGTGCTGGCATCTGACTTGTGTCCCCAACATGAGCATCCGACGTTCGAGTGGCTCGACTACGTCGTGTTGGCAGCAATGCTCGTCGTCTCATGCTGCATCGGCACCTTCTACGCTTTGTTTGGCAGCAAAGCCGAGACTTCCGCTGACTTTCTGCTTGGCGGGAGCGACATGGGCACGATTCCCATGGCTATGTCTTTGGCTGCTGGGTAATATTTGTTATTAATACCATGAATTAGAATGTAGGAAGAATGTAGAAATTGATAAGATGAGTGTGAAAAGTTGAGATGATCTCAAATTTGGGGTAAACATAAAAAAAATAATCATTAGAAAAGACCTTGACCAAGTAGAGTTTTTAAAACGAGTATGATCAAAGTAATGTAAGAAATCTATGGAAATTCTTAAGAAGTTAATTTTCTACTGGAGTGTGTATGCATATCTATGTTGGTCACACTGAAAACAGAGACATAAAAGCACAGATATCAAATTTTTATACATATGTTTTGCTTTGATTAGGGGAGATTTAACTCCTTATAAATTAACTGGCTGAATATTATGGACTAAATTATTAAGGTTGAATCACTCAAATGTCCATCTTGGACCATACAAATTAAAAACTCACTGCCTCAAAAATTAAGTCTAGTAGCTAATAGATCCACAAGTGGTACCACACTCAGATTAATTAAGACTAGAGGTCGTCCAGTGGTCGAAAACTCAACCAAAAATATGTAACGTACAGACTTCTCTATTTTCACGCCACACTGTTAATAAAACATGAGATGGAATTTCTTTTGATTTTCTGTTAATTTGATTGTTTTGTCACCAGCATGACAACAAGAACCATGTTATTTTTTTCAAAAATTCAATTTTGTGCTTATTTTTTAGCTTATTTCAATTTATAAAGGGATTCTACACATCTACAGGAAAATATCTTCCGAACAGTATGCGTAGATTTTCCCTGCAATGCACACATTTAGTCTAACAAACCGTTTTCTTTTGCAGGTTCATCACCGCCATTGAACTGTTAGGGAATCCATCGGAGATGTATACTTACGGCACTCAGTTCTGGATGACCTGCGTAGCTTTTGTTATTGTTGTTCCTATAACTTCATACCTGTACCTGCCTGTGTACATGAAGTTGAGACTAACTTCATGTTACGAGGTAAGAGGTTACACCTGTAAACTTAATTTCTCCAACATGTAAAATTCCCTTAACAAACCTAAAGGTTTATTACATGATTTATTGTATTATATTTAAAAGTTAAATCCTTTCTCTCCCTTCAATGAGTAAAGGAAGTGATGTTGGTGACTACGATGATGATTTTGCACGTTGTTCTAAAGGGGTATAGTTAGATTGAAAATTGAGTCCACTCTAGAAAATTGGACTCTAATTTTCTAGCTGTAATAGAAGCTCAAATTGAAAACAAACATTGAGGACTGCCTTAAATTTAAATGTAAACTAATTCTTAGGTTCCTATCCTAGAAGATCATAATAAAAATTCTTCATATTTAGCATCTGTTACTAGTAGAAGAAAATTTAATTAAGATGGCAAAAAAAATATATATACGTGTGCAAATTTAAGAGGGACCAAAAAGGTCCCACCCTTAAGCTTTCATCTATTAAATGAAATATTAAATCACTTTATAATTTTTGGATCAATAAAATACAATCATCGGAAAATCTAAACTCTATAGTATTGGTCACAAATTAAATAATTAACCTAATCGAATGGTTTTACATTTGTTTTAGTACTTGGAGATGAGATTTAACAAGAAGATCAGAGTAATAGCTGCTGCATTGTACATGCTCCAAATGGTGAGTAAATATCTTATGTAAATCTAAAAATTGAATATATTGTGAATTTAAAAGGGTTTTGGATTTTCTATAAGACAAACAAAACACTTGTTTTGCTACGTAATTGGAGGGAAACAGAGTAGATAAAATCAACAAATGTTTGGAGTAGACAAAAGAAAAATTGGAAAAATAAAAATTAAAGAAATATTAACATTGTCTTACACTTAACACACAATCACAATCTCATGGGTGGAAGACTTTAAGCAAAGACCTGGGGCCCATTTCATAATAAACTACAAGTTACAAGTTACAACTTGTAACTTGTAATTTCCATTAGATTTGCATTGGGCGATCAGCTGATTTACTAATAATATTAGTTTGTACTTTATTATGAAATGGGCCCCTCACCTTTACTCTAGAACCTCTAGATAGGATAACATTCCAAATATCAAAACAAAAAACAAAGTTGAGGAGTTTTTGTTTTTTTAATCATTGACATGGAGAAAGTTTCCTGTAATCTTTAAATAACAAGTTTGATTTATATTTGAAATCGTTAAAGAAATATTAACTTTTTCAACATTACAGTTTTTATTTGTGATAACTTCAATTTTTTCAGGTTTTGTACACATCTGTTGCTGTTTATGCTCCAGCTTTGGCGCTAAGTCATGGTAAGTTTCTTTTTTCTTTTTGAGTTATTGCACACTAACGTAACTGAGGCTCTCATTGCTTTCTTGGATAAACAATTCTTGAACTCTGATCTGTGATTTCATAGGTAGATTGCTTGAATTGAAACCAACAACATTTTTCAAATTGCCCCTCATTGAATTTGGAAATTAAACTAGTTCTGTTTTGGATGCTTCAAAATTAAGTTTCTCTAATACTCTCAAAGAATAAATAAAGGAGGTTAGTTTACCTTCATTTTGTATAGCGATTTCTAATACCTCCTCTAAGCGTTCAAAATGATGATAGTTTTTTAGATCCTTGTAAAGAATATCAATCTTCACTCATATTGAGGTCGTCAAAACATTAAACACGCACACACAAACATTTAAACAAGACATAAAAATAACAATTCAAAATCTATTACTGTCCACAGGTACGATCTGCTCGGTTGACCTGTCCGGACTCAAAGCTTAGTAATAAAGAATCTGTTTTTATTGATCATTTTACCCCATTTTACAAAAGAACAGCAGACTAAGAGTTCGGTTATAGTAACACATACTAAAAATAAAATACTCCAAAACTCATAAATATATAGAGAAAAAATATTAAGAAAACAATTAGGAGTATTTTGAAAGTTTTGATGTAGCATAAGAAAGTCATAAAGCTTATAAACAATTTTTACCATACGAAGAACTCATGTATTAATGAAATTCATATTCTTGTATATGTTTCAGTGACGGGGTTGAACACATACATAGCAGTCTCTCTGGTCTATGTAGTTTGTATATTTTATGCCTCCCAGGTAAGAATTTACATAAAATATTTTACAAATTTAAAATGTAATCTATATTTTACCATAGACAAAAAGATTTAAATATAGACCGTCAGCTGTGCTGCGGTTGCCATAGGTTCTGGCGCACACCGCTGGGAGCGCCATGTAGTTATGGCATACACGCTACGTAACTACACGGCACTCCCAGCAGTGTGTGCCAGAACCTATGGTAACCATGGTAACCACAGCACGGCTGACAGTCTATATTTAATTCTTTTTGTCAATGATTTTACATATTAGGACTAAAATATTCAATAACTAGTCATTATTTGTTTGTATACATTCAGAGAGCAACTTAAAAAAAATGCATTTACAAAAATAGAAGTCCTCTTGAAGGGGAAAAGCATAAACAGATTTTAAATATAAAACTGAATTGTTAACTTTTCCTCCCAACTGCCTGGAACTTTTTTTCTGAGAGTTAATTGTGTATTTGTTCACAATTAATCTTAACCTATATAGGTTAAGATATATATATTCAGACAAGAGTTTTTATTTCAAAAAATTAACTAGGTAATTAAGTGTAATTTAGTATAGAATAGAGTCGGCTTTAGGCATGTATGAAAGGTACAGCCAAGGCCCCGCACTTTAGAGCAAAATAAAAAAATGAAAAAGATTGTGAATTTTACGTCAATTATGAAAAAAGAAAAAGAAAGTAGTATAAATTATAATGTCATACATAGATATCTTTGTTGTTATTGTTGGGTTATGACTTTTTTTATAGTAAAAGACCCCTAAATGTTTGTACTGGGCCCCACGCCAAGATGCATGGAGTAAAAGGTTTTATGCTTTTACTCCATGCATCTTGGCCCCACGCCACCGAAGGCTAGCTCTGAAATAGAACTATGTTGAAGTTTAAAATATTTTATACATTTTAGTGGATCAGACTATGTTTTTATTTTATTCTTAAGTTTTCAAAGTATATCATAGAATTGAGAAAAAAAAACCAAAACAATAGAAGAAACGGAGATAATGAAATAGAATCATTGATTTGATTGTTTTTTCAAATCACACAATTATAGACAAATAATCGATGATTTTATATCTCATACTGACTCAAACTATAAACAAGCTTATTTTTTCCAGGGAGGAATGAAGGCTGTGATAATGACGGACACGTTTCAAGCGGCCGTGCTAGTGTTGTCGATTGTTGCGATCATCGCTCTCGGTCAGGACCTGGTCGGAGGATTTAAACACATTGTCGACGTCAACTACAAGTCCGGGAGGATAGAAGTTTTTGAGTAAGTCTTCACCGATAATTTAATCATATTTTTGCTTTCAGCCATAGAGTTACAGTTTTAAATAAAATTTTTTGTTCTTTATAAGTTCTTGGTTATTATTTGATGGCCTCAAATGCAATATTAAGCGTAACAATATGGTTTTAGGTTACTATGTATCTGTTGAGCAAGGACGCATATAGTAGCTTTCAGTAGTTTTTTGATGGTTCAAAAATAGACTCAGCTGGATCCCTTGACTTTTTAATAATCAACCTGGCCAAGAAACAGCTGGTATCAGTCAGTCTAAGCTACATAGATCATCTCACTACGTTCTACACTTTTGACCCTTTTACTCAGCTTAAAATGTGCACTTCAGTGTGTTGGTTGCTGTCTTAAATAACACATTTTGTTGTAACTCATTCCGATGTTTAATAAGTATAATTAGTACCATAGCCTCCTCTAATACAAGACCGCGGAGTGACAAAAGTGGCAATCCCATCAAACCGAATCAGCTGTTGCACTAGTTTAGAGGAAATGTTTTTGTTTACACTTTTGCTATTTCTGTTATTACCATGCAATAGGCATGACGTTGCTACGTTACCACACAACGCCATGGCCTTGTGTTAGAGGAGGCTTTTACGTAATAGATACAGTATGTTAAATTTGTTTTTCTTGCTCCAGGTTGAACCCCAACCCGACCGTGCGACACAGTGTTTGGTCCGTTGTGATTGGTGGCACTGTCTATTGGACCACAATGTTTTGCTCCAACCAGGCTTCCATCCAGAAGTACATGTCAGTCGAGTCCATCGGTCAGGCGAGAAAGTAAGTATATCATTGATTATAAAGGCTTAACACTATTCGTGCTGTCGACATGTTTGAACATAAAAGTTGCATTTATTTCAATGTTAAGCAATTGCGGGAATTCCCGTCATCAGCACCCAACGTGTTAATCCATCTTTATTAAAGAGAGCAATCTGGTGTATTTACTGGGGATTTTAAAAGACAAATATTCTCAAACTATGGGTTTAAAGCATTAGACTTCAAGTTTTGAATTGGTAAAAATATGGGTAACGTCAAAACAGACAGAAAAAAGCTGCTATTGTAACATAAAAACATTAAGATATATTTTGAGTCCCGAAAATGATGATGGCATGTTCAGAGGGCTCAAACTTACAAATACTGAGATAAGAAAAATTGCAAACATGCTGTAATATTATATCTTCCTTACAAGAATATTTTACAGCCAACCAGAGAGGCGAATCCAGAGGGGGCTGATGTTCCGTTGCGGGGCCTATTCGGTGTTTTGCTGTGACCGCGGGACTCAATGACATTGTCTACACAGCCGCGGAAAATTATCAAAATTTTACTGTGATCAAAAGAAGACGATGATGACGTTCCCGTGACCGTGAAAAATGAGGATGATATCTACATGGCCGCAGGAGGTGATCAGAATTCAGCCGTGGAAGAAGACGATGATTATCGACGATAATGTCTACACATCCACAGGAGATGTTCATAATTATGCCGCGGTCACGGAAGGCGATGATAGTGTTAGTTACCATGGGGGTTATTCAGGGTTTTGCTGTGACCGCAGGAGACAATGATGGTGTGTCTATGTCTATCTGACCCCGGGAATTGAACAAAATATTGCCGTGATCGGCACAGACGATGATGACTTTTCCGCAATTGTGGGTGCGGGAAATGATCAGAATTTTGCCGCGAACACGGAAGACGTCAATCATGTCTACAGGACTGCGGGAGTTGTTCATGAATTTTGCTAAGACCGCGGAAGACAATGATGATGTTCTGTTACCATGGGGGTTATTCCGGGTTTTGCTGTGACCCCGAGAGACAATAACGATGTGGGGTGAGGGGCATCATCTCTAATCTTGCTCCCCTTGTCAATCTACAGCTGGATCCGCTACTGCAGCCAACTAATTTTCATAATATTTTCCTTTTTGTCTTGGTTTGTTGTTCTTTTAACTTATATTGTCATATTGTTGTAGAGCATTATGGGTGAGCTGTGTTTCTCTGATAGTCATATTCAGCATCAACTTCTACACAGGAATGATCATGTATGCTGAATACAGCAATTGTGATCCCATCAGAAGCAAGGTAAAAATGATAAAAGTGTAACTTCACAAAGTTGTATCTCAAATCAAACATATTATGTTGTTTGTAAGTTTTTCCAAGCACCTTAAAATATCCTTGATAAAAAATTAACCATTACAAGTCTACAAATATTTATTAGCCTTATTTATAACCAACAGATCAGGTTATGAGGAGACTATTGGCCATTGGCTATTTTCAATTATTCTAATAACCCAGTTCCATACAAAATTCACAAGCAATTCCCAGACTTTTACCAGTCATTAAAATTCACGTGGGATTCTCGGTCTTTCTGAGTTCCACATCTTAGTAATGTTTTAGAACACATATAGGTTGTTTTCAATGTAAATATAGCAATTTTTCTTCCCCCGAACGGTTGATTTAGCAGGTAAGGGATTAGTGGGACTCCAATGTATGTTGTGAATATTTACAGTCATGCACTGTGGATGCGATACTCCCTGGTGTGGATTAACGTCCGCACTAGTGAGTACTACGAGTATCCGTAGAATAGATAATTAGACCAATTCGTTAATTACAAGGCTAAAATGTGGTTCAGATTCCACTATAAACTGTAGGTCCCTTAGTTGCCACTGGCTTAGTGGGCTTTTGATTAATAGCTGTGTCTAATGAATGTCGGCCTTTAGTCAATAACAAGACTACAAGATCGCGCCACTCATAATACACTCATCTCCATTCATACTTGGCTTAAAATACCTACTTTCGTATGGTCACCATTTCAAAGTAAAGTATTAAAAGTATTTTGCTCTTTCTTTTATTTATCAAAGTAAATATTGTAATGATTGTTCTCAGGTGATTTCTGCATCGGACCAGCTGTTACCTCTGTTCGTAATGAATACTCTCGGTCATTTGCACGGAATTCCAGGACTTTTTGTTGCTGGAATATTTGCGGCATCTCTTGGGTATGTTTGTTTACCTAGAATTTAGAAAAACATATGTTTATCTTAGCTTATATACATTATACACTATCAACAACTTCAGATTTTGGAGTAGGATTGGTAAGGATGTTAATCTGTACTATTTCTCAAAACAATATTTTAGAAAGTGGCAACCCCGAATTGCCGTCTTGCTCCTGACAAAAATACAAGATATTCTAATTGATCAGTCCTATTTTACCTTCTTTAATACAAGGTGGTGGTGTGGCGACGTTCACACCGGCCTATTACCAAGGCAATAACAATGTGTAAACACAAACATTGTGCAGAAGCTCCGAGTTAGTGCAACAGCTGTTTCGGCTGCAGGCTACATTGTTGCCACTTCCAGAGAAACCAGATGTTTGCCAATGATACCAACACACAATGTTTTAGTAGCATAATTTCCTTAAAAAGGTATTGCAATTAATTCTTTGTCACTCGAACTTGCCTCGAAACCCCAATCCGACATCTAACAACTGTATACTTTTCCGCAGGACTGTGGCCTCAGCTATGAACTCCCTCGCCGCAGTCACTATCAAAGACTTCCTTCACGGAGTTTGTGACTACACGCCCAAGGAACACAGAGGGGCTTCGCTATCGAAATGGATATCAGCTGGCTTCGGTATCCTCAGCTTCATGTTGGTCTTTGTGGTGGAACAGCTGGGGAGTCTTCTTGAGGTAAACATATTCAAAGCTACTTAATTGTTGATTACATTCTCAGTGAGTTTCAATTCAATACCCGAACACAACTTGCAGGCTTTATTTTTTGTCTATGTAATTAGCAAACTTGTAAATATATTACAACGCTGCTCTCTTTTCAACTAACATTTAAACAAAGAATATTGTTTATTGCATAATTTACTTTATGCCAGAGAAGGCATGGCCCGTTAGAGAAGCAAGGTACAGAGGAAACATGTTTATGCGTTGACTGTCCACTTTCAACTCTCTAGTATGTTGTGCTACAAATAATTTGTGACAAGGAAGGAGTACTGAGCACTGTGCGGAAATTCTTATTGTACAGGGTCTTCCTACACTGAGCATTGTAGTATATGAGAGCGAGGGGGGCGGTGTTGAACTTTGGGTCTAGACACCAGCACTAGTGCTATACTCCTCTCAAGTGTACCATTGAATGTTTCCTCTGTACCTTACTTCTCTATGGTGCTGGCTACTGTTCCTATCAAGAGTAAAGTACAATCCAAAGTATTGTTCCCAATTGTTCAAAAGTGTTGAACCATTAAGTAAACCATTTATGTAATGTTTCAGGTGGCGCTCAGTTTCAATGGAATGGCTGGAGGTATAATGCTGGGGTTATTCTCTCTTGGAATGTTCTTTCCTTGGGCCAACTCAAGGGTAAGATAGAATAATTATTGTATACTAGTGCACCTGTTGCTCGAATTTGAGCAATTGCAAAGTATTACTGGGGTTTTTTCAAAACGAATAACAGTCATAATTTCTGATGACTTAAAAGAGTCAACTCAAAGATAATGTAATCAATCACTCCACTCCAGTTATCGAAACTGAAAAACGAACGCTCTTGTGTGTATCATGAGTTTACTATATGAACAGCTGTAATTAATACAAATTATTCGTCCGTTTAAAAAAACAAAATCTTTTATCCATAAGAAATACATTGGTATTTTGATGGCCTGTGAGCCAAAGCCCGAGGACTTTTATTACAGGAATTGGTGAAAGGGGGCATCTACACAAACTATATACTTCATTTCGACACATTGTTTGTAAAAATCCGTCCATTATAATGGAGGAGTAGTGTTTCATAGAAATCGCCTTCACGTATTATATATAAGGATACTTATCATACGACTTGGATTTACTTAGGTACAATTCTAAAAATAGTTTCCTTGTGCCAATATTGACTTCTTTTCCCTTCTCTTTCAGTCTGATCCAATGATTACCAGTTATAGTTAAGAGATATAGTAAAACCATATTTAAAAGTTTTAAGAAGTTTGGTAACTGAAAGTAGACATCCCATATGGACCTGCTGCAACCAGTTCTTTCATGGACGAGAAAAATAGTGAGCACACCATCTGTTTAGTGTGATACAAGATGTACTATACTGGGAAATAAACAATAAGCTGTACCTTTTGTTTCTAGGGAGCATTAATAGGATCGTCAGTAGCGATGGCGCTGATTGTGTGGATCGGGATCGGCACACAGATTGCTCAGACTCGCGGCTTTGAGGCGGAAGTACACAAACCAACTTCACTCGAAGGCTGCAACTGTAACGCAACCTACATAGACAATCCTGCTTCTCTGGACAGTGGAGAGTAAGTTCTGCAACATTTACCGAAGTTTGTACGAGTGTAAAAGCTCCGTGGTGTGGTAGTGACTTGGGATATAAGCCAGATATAGCTGGTTCGAGACTGATTTCCTGCACTAACTTATCAATGTGGTCATCACTATAGGTTACCCATATAATTAAAACTGTATGTACTTAAATGACAGCCAGTGACTATTAAAAATTCTTGTGGAAAATAATTATTAATTGAATAAAATCGTAACTAGTTTAAATTTGATTCCTTTTTTTACGTGTTGCTCAAAGTGTTGCTGTAATCACCAAACCACTCAAACTAGTATTTTATTTTTTAGCAAGTTTATCAGCTTGAAGGACTATGAGTAGTCACTCCAGTGTTCTTTTACATGTCTTGTCAGTATGATCCTAATTGGAGGAACCAATCGTCTGGGTTCATCTAGCACACTTTGTGTAAAGGAAATACTAGTGTACTTGTCAAGTAATTGAATATGATTTATTTTCCAGAGTGTTTGTGCTCTACCAGATCAGCTACCTGTGGTATTCTGTGATCGGTTTTGTCGTCACCGTAGTGGTAGGCCTGGGCAGCAGTTTGGTCTACGAGCCCCAAGACCCTTGTCGTCTACATCCAGACCTGTTGTCTCCTCCGATCCTCTCATTGTTGCAAAGTTTACCTAACTCTGTGAAAGAATCTATTGGCTGGCCTGTACAGGTAGAAGATAATTTATGAGGAACTTTGTAAATATTTACTTGTAGCTGATTCTAAAGCCTTTTAAGGTCATTGGTCACAAACAATGAAACCTGATCTCCACCTATATCTACAAAAAAAAGGGAAACTCATAGACTAATCATATGAATTTTTTTTATGTCATATGAATTTAAAATTTTTCAATTCCGTCATTTACCTTGGATCCTGAAGTAGACAACCATATCATAGACTAACCAAATCAAGTAGACTTCTCATCACATTGTAAATTTGAAGCTGGATTTTTGTGTCCAGTTCATGTCCGGTGACACTGATCGCTAGAGTTGACAAAATTTTGTTTGTATTATTTCAGGGTTAATTTCATGATTTGTGCTGTTTGGTTATTCATCTAAGGAACGCGGTGTTTTAAATGACTGAAATAACAAGAAACAAAACACGATTTCTGCAGTGCACCTGACAGAACTAACAATAAAATTGGCTTCAGCTGTTCCATAAGGATGAGAAATCTACTAAGGGAATATGTTTATGGACCAGCTGTAGCGTAAGTAAAGCATTACTACTGTCACACACTTTGAGCAATGTTGGTTCATTATGCATATTTTGTTTCAGTCGAAGTCTTCCACCGAAAATATGGGAGGATCAAAAGACATCAGCTCAAAACAAAAAGACGGAGAAAACAAAGGAGTGATAAACTTGGGAATGGTGGTGGATGAGAATAATTGTCCACGGAGCAACGGAATTGAGACCAAAGGAGTGATCAACCACGGGCTAGAAATGGAGAACGAAACTTTCTGATTGAGCAGAGGAATCACCGTAAAAATAACCTAAGATTTTAAAAGATAATTTTAAGAAGTCGTAGAAAGGAATAACGTTTAGCTCACTTACCTAAGTAATTAAGAGCCCAGAGACTTAGAGATAGGAAACCAATCACTCATCATAGCACGTGTGTTTTGTTCTTTTTTTAGAACTTTTCAAGGAAGTAAATTTTCAGAGAAATTTAAGATAAAATGAAAAAAAAACATTGCTACAATAGGACAGTATTATACCAGTGCAATGTTGTGTGATAATTTTACTGTATCTAAAGCCACAAAACTAATTTTCTTATTAATCTTGTTGAACTTTATTCTTTTCAAGCAAACTTTTAAGCCGCACAGCTTGCCTTTACATTATAACCGATAATTTATTCTGATATCTATAAAAAAGATTTTCATTTCCAAAAGATCTTACTGTGATAAGGATTTGGCTCAAGATATGTGACTTTTGGTCGAGGATGTTGAAATAATTATTGCAAGTTTCAAAACAAAAACAAAATTAAGAGGGCTTGTTTTCAAGGAGGAAATGAAAGTAGGTGCAAGCAGATGCTATCTTTTAGTAAATTCTGATCATTGTTCGGGTGTAAGTTATCGATCAAAGTTAAAGTCAATAGTCTTTAATATAATCTTTATTCACATTTATTGAGTACAGAGTTGTGCCAATCAAGTTGAAGTTATTGAAACGTCCTGGAATTTACATACACAATGTAAATTTTTGATGTTACTTAAAACTTTATTTTGTTGATACATTTTTGTTAGTTTGGCGATTGCTTTACTTTAAAATAATATTATTGATTATTTAGTGTCAGAAATCAATGACCTATAATGAAAGAGTTTTCCAAAATTTGTTTTAAAGCGAGTTGGTGAAACTTACGTATGACATTCTAATTTTATTTTGTAAGATTATTTAAGTAACTCATGTTCGGTATGTCAAATGTATAAGTCCAATTCAAAAAGAGGTATTCAATATTTTTTTTAAAGTAAAGAGTGACATAAAATATGTAGTGCAATATTAAGTTGACATTTTGGAAATTAGCTGTACATCCAAAAATGACTGTGATAGCTGATCATTCTTTTTTAATAGTGAAGACCGTCTCTCCAATCAAATGTAGTATTTTTAAATATTTGTGAGTTAAGATAAGTATTTTTAAAAGTGTAAATATAGTCTTAGTGTAGGTTGTAAAGACCAATAAAGTATTATATTGAAGTTGTACAATAGATAGTTGAAATCTGAATGACCAATAGATTTTTAACATTGTAAATAGTAAAAATGAGTACCGGTAGTGTAAGTAAAAAGTTACACACAAGATGTGATGAGATGTTTAAGATGCTGATTACTAACACTTACACAATAGTACCTGCTTTTAGTGTTTTGTATGTTGTTGAATAAAAATTATAAGACTAAAGGCCTTATTGTATATAACCTTGAAAAACAATTCTACTTAGTATGTAGATTCTGTTGTGGGAATTAATACTGGTTTTACTGATGGTGAATTGTACTGGTTAAAACACACTAACTGTCTGATGAAAAAATAATTGGCTGAATTTTACTGTGTAATTAAATAACTTTAGCCTCAATCATGTTTACTTTAGAAATATCTAATTGTGTAAAATATTAACAAAACAAACGAAATAACTTGTGTTTTGTTGATTGTTTATCATGATCCTGAAGTGTTGACGAAACAACAAAACGGTGGGATTTTTTCCAGAAAACTTACTGTCCTATTTAAAACAGCTTAGTTTGAAAGATTCATGATTTAAAATAAATACTTATAAGGCTGGGGGGAAGTTACTCAGTTGCAGTGCTCGCCTGACTGTCTAAGGGTCACTGGTTCAATCCTGATAAATGTAAGAAGCTTTTTTATGGTTGGGAGCTTGACCCAATTGTCCTCTCATTGGGCTTTTTAAATACTGTAAATGGTCTGGCTAAGTAATCAGCTAATTTTATACAGCACAAAGAACGTGTGTTCATTACGTTCGTTCAAGAATTACTCTTCAGACAGCTTTGAACACATGTGCACCTTGGTGTGACGGAAGTGTAAGAACCATAAAGCGGACCGCCATGTAAATAAGCTTCTTCACACTCCGCTCTACGTGTTCTGTGCTCTGCTTCCGCACCTAGGAAAACCCACCTAGAGAAAACTTACCTACATAGGCGCTGTGGTAAACATTTTGAAACTTAAATAATATCCTTGGCTGAATATCTGGAAAAACCTTGGACATATTCCTAATCAAACCCTTTTTGTTGAGTAAACACTTTTTTACTTTGTAAACCTACTTAAAACAATTAGCTGAATCCTGATTGTTTCCATTCAAAACAAGTTTTAAAGTCTTTTCGGTTACAACACTTTGCTAAACTCCTAAAAACAAAACAGGTGATTGCACTAACAATGCTTGAGTAACAATAGTAGTCGTTAGACTATGGTAATGCTTACATGTGAATCAGCTGTTTTGAAACAAGGTCACCAGTCAAGGTCAGTTCAGGTGAACTCCAGGGGAGGGGGAGGGGGGGGGGAAATAATGAGGAGAATGTTGGATTGCTTATTATTTTGCCCATTAAGCTAGGAGGAAAGTCAGGAGGTGAAATCTAGTAAACAGAAACAGTTGGAGACAGTTAGTGGCTTAGTGTGGTTGATTGTGTGAGAAATTTTGTTTACAATTTCAATTTTAGATTCAGTTATTTAAACTAAATATTTTGGATTATTTGGTAATTTCTTTTTAAAGTGTTTTAAGATTCAACTATTTGCAACCGTAAGTATTTCCAATGTATTATTTTTAATAAAGCTATGCCAAAAGTATAGTTTTTTAAGAATAATTTTACTATTAGCTATTTAAAATGTGCTTTGCGGTTGTTGACAACAATATTGGAAAAAGTAAGTTGAGATTTTAACATAATGACCATATTTTGAACAAATATACCAAATGATAAATCTAATAATAACTCCCAGTTTATAGTTTGAATACATTAACTTAAAGTGGTCCAGTTCATAAAGTTATCCAACTAAAGCTAAAACTAAATGTCAGCTAGATAGCTAAGTTTTCAGGGGATAAGAAGGGAAATAAATACTTAAAATTCACATCCACACCAAATAAAGCTCTGAAGTTCAATAACTTTTTTTAAAAGCAAATTTAATGAATGGTTCAGATTTTATCAATTCAGTAACTTTCTCGTATATAAAATTAAATTAATATCTTACAATTTTGATTGTTTTTTTCAATTGTGATGCAAGAGCATTTTTTTATTTAGTCGATGAAAACTAACAGTGAAGTTTGATGAATACACAAATGTTGACATACTTATGAAAATGATTATTACGGATGGTGATGTTTGATGTTTACACCAAGTGTGAGTTTCTCATCTGAAATTGCTTATTTGCAGTAGTTGTGACAGTTTATATTCACTACTACAACTACTAACATACTAGAGACAGGTACTAGTTTTTGTAATATTTACTTACAAAATTAGGTTGGTATAAAATACAAATTATTTATTTTATTTTAACAGTTAATAGTAAAAATGTGTGTTGTAATAAACCAATTGATTATTTCATTTGAATTACAATTGTTAGGCATTTTGTTTGCAAAAATCCTTTAAACATTAAAAAGTTAAGAAACATAATTTCTTTAAATGTGTGTAAAAGTATATACATTTACATTTCATTTAATTTCACATTAAAAAAGTTAATTAACTAATGTACTTAAATTTTAGTCTGTAGGATTCATAAACTAAAATGTGCATATTTTTCAGAATGGGGAATGTTTACTTTTTAGGCACTTCGGAAAATTTAAGGTATTTCAACACTTTAAATTGATATTACTTATTACGCAATTATATTAAAATGATTCAATGCTGATCAATATATTCTACATTCTACAATCTTTATATTTACTAATTAATTAACAGTTCAAAGTTTAAGTTCATTAAAACAAAACATAGTACAACTTGAAACTGTATTGAAAATTATTTGTGGAGACAATACTAAAACTCACTCAATTTACAATGTTTATAATCATAAAATTTGTATTAATAAATTAAATTTGTTTAAATAAAACATGACTGGGTCTTCATGAGGAGTAAAACATACATTCTACTCAAGACTAATTTTGTCCCAGGTACATTTTGCTCCTAATAAACCACTCATTTGGATCAATATCGCTCATCATACAATTTAGTGGTACTATCATAATAACCAAAGTTATTATCCAAACATGGTTCATTTTGCTGGTGTTGTTCGGCCAAATTTCTTTTCATGGTGGGTCATGTGCATTTTAATCAGCTGTTAATACAACAACTGATTATTGCACTTAGCATGTCTTTATAATTTGTTTCCTTTTCATACTTTTTATGAAAAAAAAAACAAAAATTAATGTAATTTTTATTTTAAGTGATTTTATTACTGAGATGACAACTGCGTACACACTTCCTGCGGAAGAAACCATAAGAACTTTTGACTACGATGAAGACTTACCAAGCCTGCCTGTACCCGAACTTGAAGAAACAATAAAAAGGTATCTTGCTTCTGTTCGGCCATTTGCTAAAAATGAAGAGGAATACAAAAAGACTGAGAAAATTGCTATTGAATTTCTGAATGGAGAAGGAAAAGCTTTGCAGGAGAAATTACTTCAACATGCATCAAGATACAAAAACTGGGTGAGTATAGACACTTTTAATATATAAGAAACTGCAATGACTGGGCAAAATATCGTAGATGATAAAAGTAAAAGTAGTTTTCTAGCATTTTGTGTTAATTTTCATTCAATAACATACTATATTGCAATCTCTGATTTATTATAGCCTACTTTGTAAACATTGGATTTTCACTGGTTTAACTTTAGAATTGAGTTTGTTCTCCAAAGACAAATATAGGATTATACCCTTGTTCAGGCCCATTTTAGTAAATGGGCTCGATGGGCCTTGAGACACAAGAGGTTTTAGGTTTGTTGAGAGCACAAGGAAGATCAAATTTCCCTTGCAAGGAAGAAGGAGAGAGGCCAATATATCTCAGGCCAAGAGCATCACATGTGGGCCTGTCAGTATTGAATTATGTTCAACTCCTCCAAGTACTGGTGTTTAATAGTTTAAAGTCTCACTACCATAGGATACTCTGCTATTAGAATAGTAGCAACACAAAGTATAACTGGACTATCTCAGATCAAACTAAAGGCAGTTAACAAGTTGTATTTGACTTGTTTTCTATACATTTATTTTTGAAAGTTTTTCATAACGTTTTATTTAATGAGTTTTTTTTTCAGATAGAGAAATGGTGGGAGGATTACGCTTATCTAACGTTGAGAGAACCTCTAATTCCCCACTACAGTATGGCAGGGCCTCACCCTAGGATACCTGGGTTTCACTATGGCCCTGGGCAACAACTCAAAGCAAGTATCCTTGTGTATTAAACAAATTCTTGATTAAATGTATATTTTAACTGTGGATGGTTGGAATGAAACCGGAATATAGGTAAATTGAGCCCTCAACTGACTGCACTAATATAAATTACTGATTTCTGTTGAATAACCCAACATTTAGCATTTCAACATTGGTTCTCGGTGCTAGAGTACAGTACTTTTCTCAAGTAAACTGGTACCTTACTTTTGTTAGTAAGGTAAACTGGTGGCATCCAGTTTGTCTTCAGGTACGGTGGACACACTAAATTTGTTACTTAATCAGCTGATCTCAGGCAGTAAAAACTAACATATTGATTCATTCACTAAATTTAACCTCAACCAACAAAACTTGACTGATCACAACTTGAAAATCATAAATTAATTTTCACTCTTAACAATGCTCACCCATTAAAACCAAAACTATGTCAAAATCAAAGATAAACCCAACAACCAATCTCTTCAAAGAAAAGTAAACAGCTGATTCGTTTCACAGATGGCATCAGTGTACTGTCACCAGCTGGTATTGTTGTGGCTGTTGCTGCGTAAAGAACGACTGAGACCAGCGATGACTGCAGATAAGAAACCCCTCAGTATGAGCCAGTACAGAAGACTGTTCAATTGTTCAGTTGTTCCTGGAATGATGAAAGACTTCATCATAGCACAGTTCAAGACAGGTAACTAGGTGCTCACATTGTTGGTTAAGAGAACGATATTTTCAACATGAAATAGTTCAGGGGACTCTTCATTTGCTCAGTTGTTCCTGGTATAGTTTACAAGACATAGAACATTACAGGAGGCAAGTATGCAGCCAGATTACATGCCTCATAGTGTATTTCCTGTCTATTGGCCTCTTGTAAACATGGCTAACCATAACGAAATTGAAGACAGTTAAACAGGTGTTCACATGTTGGTTAAGGGAACAACATCTTGAAAAATTAATCAGTTATAGTATACAAGCATCTACACTCAGCTTTCTTTGACCATCAGACTTTTAATAAATGTTCCATGCTTAAGAAAGAAGTTATCCCAGCAAGTAACAAAGCTACATAGATAATCTTACTCTATTCAACACTCACTCTGAATTTGTATTCTAAATACTTGTCTGGTTATGTATTGCAGTCTTTAAGACGTGATTAACCTATTTATTAGTTCATTCTTTTCCATTTCAGAGAAGGAAGGAGAGTGCCCTTCCCATGTGGTGGTGGTGTGCAGAGGTCACATGTTTGTGTTCAACAGTTTGACCCCAGAAGGTCATCCTCTCTCACCAGCTGACTGGGAGAATCAGCTGACTGAAGTACGACAAACAGCTGATTTGCTTCCTCCCTCTGATCTACCCTGCTTGTCCTGTGATAACCGTACATCATGGGCTGAAGTGAGTACTGCAAACTGCAAGTGTCATTGATTGTAGGATAGTGCTGATATTACGTCAAACAATCTAGTTGGTACGGTAACATGAATATTATTGTCAATATTGTCCATTATGATACCAAATTAACCATGTAATTGCTGTCAAGCTTTGGGACATTTTCTGTACATGGATAGGAAGGCTTCTTGCCTTATTCTTAATCTTAAAATTCCTTAGAGCTCTATCTCCAAGCTCTCAGAGCTACCATCTTAAGCTTATGAGAATCTTTGTTTGATTGTTTGAGCTGAAAGAGGCAGTGTGCTGATCCAATGTTGCTCAAATGAAATTAAATTTCTGAAGCTCCATAATATGAATTAGTGCAACAGCTGTTTTGGTAGACTTGGGCTGTAGCGTTGCCACTTTGTCTTGCCGCGGCCTTTTTTCACTAAAAACTGTTTGTTCAGAACAGGGAATATCTGATGAAGCTAAGTCCAGTTAACATCAGCAACTTTTCGACACTGGATTCAGCCATGTTCGTCATATGTCTGGACGATTCAACTCCTATGTTGGCATCGGACGTCGCTCAGTTATTACTCTGTGGAGACTACTCTTGTCGCTGGGCTGACGCAGCCCTCAACATCATGTTCTTCAGCAATGGACTGTCTGGAGGACTATGTGCGGTAACATTTTATGTTTAAAAAAATATATTGTTTTACAGATAGAAATAGGTGAGATGTTTCAAGTTTTTGAAATTAAATGTCGATTTTCAACAGTTGCACTAGCGATTATGAGTAAATTAGAGTTGGATTTTTTATCACAAATTCAGAGTAAAGGATGTTTTAAAAGTCTGAAAGGAAATTAAAATTAGAAAAACCTGCAGGGATTTAGGTTTGTTATCTTATATAGGTAATATTGATTATTTCTAAATGGGAGAGGTTTAAAACTTCATAACCCTCCCCTTGTGATTTTTCGAATGTTCATTATTTACCAAGTAACATATTGAGTGGCAGAGAGAAATTATCCAATAATATCCACATAAGATGACTAAGAATATCAATCAGTTAAGTTCAAATTCAGCATTTTATCAAATCAAATCAAATCAAAAGTTGAACAAATGAGGAAAAACGATGCAAAACCAATGAATCACAAAAGTATCATACCGATTAAAAATCTAAAACATAAATCCAACTTAAAACAAGGGACACCATAACCTGCGTTAACTTTTACTTTATTTGCTAGGATTGTTTGTAAACAATCATTACTTCACAATAAGCATTCCATTTCAGCATTCTCCGTTTGATGGCATTGTGAGCGGATCAGCAATGCATTTCACCTACTCAGCGTTGAAGGAATCTGCTGGGCGAAATGTAAACATGACAAGTCAACAACTACCAAAGCCTCAACAACTTGAGTTTGTTGTTGATTCACATATAAGGTCTGAGATTGACAGAGCAATGGACGATCAACAAAAAGAGGTATGGTAGAAATATTTATTGTAGCAGAAATTATTTACTATGAAATAGTGATTTATTATGTGATTTAATATTCACACATATAATACAATAAATCGGGAAAATTTTCAAATTAATAAATTCTAAAAAAGCAATTTCAAACAAAACTCCAATTGTTTCTCTGGGATAAAATATTTTAACTACCTTCCTGAAATCATAAAATCTGAAAAGAGTTTTAAATGCTTTGAAAGGAAATTGAAAAGATTTCTTGTGACCAAAGCGCCATACAGTTTTGAGGAATTTTTCAATGTTTAAGGTCATTTAAATAAATACTAGTTAACCGCCCATGCTCCGCCACGGGAATATTGTCAGCAATAAAAGAAATAATAATTACAAATACTGTTTATCTTTGTATTTTATTTAGGGGTTGTTTAATTTTTTACATGAAATAGAACTGATAGTTTGCCTGTATAAACTATTTTATGTTAATCAAACCCATATATTATTTTAACCAAATGAATGTTTAATATTAATTCGAGTTTCATTTGAAAAATAAATAGTATACGAACTGGGCAATGCTGATAACCTAATAAGCAGCTATTTATGATATTTAGATAATTTGCTCAAGTATATTCCTATATTTGTCGTTTTTTTCATTACATTTGTTGTATGGAATAAAGATAAATAATTGATAATTGATTGATTGATTGATTGATAGTCACTTAGCCTACATGTAAATCACGCATCAGCAGTTGGTCGCATTTCACGAATCTTTGACCCATACTGTGAGTAAAAGCTGTGTTTACGTCGTATAGTTGGGCATACTTTGTTCAATGTTAGAGGGTATTAACGGTTCAATTTGATGGAAAAGGAGTCGTGGATTTTAAAACTATGTAGACTACCACTACCAGAAAGATGTTGATTCAAGTGAGACTTAGAACTGGCCATTTCAAATGCAGATTTGTATTATATTTTACTCAAATAGTTTTTTGTCTCTTTTGACCCTTAATACTTTTTTTATAGTCGCTGTTGATAAGATTTGCCATTAACTCAAAATGTTGATAAGGAGTTCATTTTACCTTCCCCTTGTGACAACATAAGGAAAAAATATGTGTGTCCCAGTTAGTCTGTTCTGACTCAAAATTCATAGATTTGCAGTAGCCTACTGACAAATCCAATCTAACGACCCCAATTAAAAAAAAATTGGTATTTTTTAGAAGGGACTTCCAGAGCACATTTAACACCATCACTGCTCTTTACCTTTTTAGTTCGATGGTTCTCTACACATGTTTTTCGTTCTGTATGTCTCTTTACGCCCGGTTAATGATTACCTTTTCTTTTTCTTTTTGTACTTTTCACATCATGGGGTTAATGATAAAGTTTTATAACGCTATAATGACCCGAGTCAACATTGCCATTAAACATCAAGTCAGATACTCTTCGCCAGAACCGAAATCGTAAGTCACAGTTTCTCAAGCAACTTCCCTGTGTAGACCTACTCGAACAAATATAGTTAGGGTATAGTTCACTGATAAATTGTAGTTCCAAATATCCCAGCGTACTCGCCATCTCGAGAAGGTAAAATTTGCACGTCGAACACTGATCTTGAGTAAGATTAATCACTTACGATACAATGTTTGTATGTTTACCAATCATTAGCAATTATCTGTACAACTTGCAAGCGGATTTCCCTATGATTGTTCTGGTGGCTATAGAGAATAAATTATATTGATCAAAACAATAAGTTTCCGTCCCCTACTATGGGTATTATTTCACATTCCATGCTCAAACTTAAACTCAATTACCACATTCCTTCAGATCACTTTGCAGGAAAACTAAAACATTTCTGTGTCCCAGTTAGTCTGTTCTGACTCGAAATTCATAGATTTGAAGTAGTGACAGATCCAATCTAACGACCCCAATTCAAAAGAGTTGGTATTTTTTTGTAGGGACTTCCAGAGCACATTTAACACCAACACTGCTCTTTACCTTTTTAGTTCGATGGTTCTCTACATTTTTTTTCGTTCGGTATGTCTCTTTACGCCCGGTTAATGACCTTTTCTTTTTTTTGTACTTTTCACACCCTGGGGTTATTTACAGTATAAAGTTTTATAACGCTATAATGACCCGAGTCAACATTGCCATTAAACATCAAGTCACATACTTCTTCGCCAGAACCGAATGGTAAGTCACAGTTTCTCAAGCAACTTCCCTGTGTACTTGAAAAAAAAATCACTGATATATTGTAGTTCCACGTATCCCTGCGTACTCGCCATCTCAAGAAGGTAAAGTTTGGTACCACTGAACGTCTAACACTGATCTTGAGTAAGATTCGTCACCAACTATAAAATGTTTGTATGTTTCCCACTCATTAGCAATTATATGTACAACTTGCAAGCGGATTTCCCCATGATTATTCTGGTGGCCGTAGAGAATAAATTATATCGATCAAAACAATAAGTTTCCGTTCCCTATTATGGGTATTATTTCACATTCCATACTCAAACTTAAACTCAATTACCACTTTCCTTCAGATACTTTGCAGGAAAACTAAAACATTTCAAAAATAAGTTAACAAATACGCTTTCCTTGATCAAAATTGTGTGTTTATAAACAGAAACTCCAAGTTTAATAATTGCATACTGAAAGTGAGGTTATAAAAATAATTACAAATGTCTGACAAACATTAAACAGCTGACGAATAATTTATAAACTGTGTATTATATTCTTCAATAAGAATTGTATTGACTCGAACTTTAAAGGGCTGTAGGTCTTAGCCCTTAGAAAAAACGTAAATTCCAAGGAAGTTCGGCAAATCTACACACTATCCCCTTTAATTTGAGACATAAATCTTGTAGATCGGTCCAGTAATTACTGAGAAAACAGTGTTACAACTGTGTATTAAATATATAGATTTCTGTATATGTATAAGATATCCTATGTATAAATATAATGTATCAGAATTCTATCTAGTCATTAGGCGATGTAATGTATGATGTATTGTTCTGAACGCCATTCGATGTATACTTTTGTATATCTGTGAATAAAGTATCTTTGAATTGAATTGAATTGTCTACTAGGTATTTCTAGGTTATGTTTGAAAATTTGAACAAATCGGTAATCTAACTATACCTACTAGTGTACATGTTGCTCGAATTCGAGCAATTGCAAAGTATTACAGGAGTTATTTCAAAACAAATAACAGTCATATTTACAATGAGTTTAAAAGAGTCAACTCTAAAGATTACCGGTGAGTAACTTAGACCATGTTTATCTTTGTTATTGATAAACCTAAAGCATTCCGGCCGGTTTTCTCCTTCTCAAAATGCCTCGCTGTACAGGCAACACAGGTCATTGATAGAGGGCCAATTGAGAACGAAAAGTCGTTTTGGGGTAGTGTTAGGGCGCATTTGTAATCTAATACTGTAGTTGAGATTGTCCAGGGTCAGGTGCTGACTGTGATGAGTTAAAGCCTATTACGCGCCACTGTTCTGTAGCTGCGGTCGTTATCACGATTACGTCTCCTGCCTATGTTTCGCGTTGTCGTCGCGTCGGAGGCATTTAAAAGAAAGAAACAACAAATAAACAAATTATAGCTACACAAAACAACGATACATGCACAAATTAAAGTTACGATCAAGCTAACACAATCCGTCATAGCAACACAAAACAACGATAAATACACAAATTTAAGATACAACCATACTAACACCATCAAACTTGGGGGTTATGTTTACACAAACTGAAATAGTAAATAAATGTACTCAATGCGTTTCGAATTGAAAATAAATAACAGCAATTAAATTATACAGCTGATCAAAATGTAAACAATTAAGTTCTCCATAAGGATAACATGGGAACTTTCAAAGCCACTGGGGCAGAGCCTAAGGGAATTTTTCAAAAATGTAATGCCAGTTTGCAAATCTACGCGACACGCTCTTTCCAATGAGACGTCAATGGATAAAATCGGTTAAGAAATGGCGGAGGAGTTCAACCGACAAAGTTTCATGTAGCGTATTAATTATATAGATATGGTCCCAATTGGTTTGGACTTTTGACGTTCTACTATATCATACCAAATATTAAAAAATAAATCCTTATTTTATTCTTATGTCTTGTGTTGTTCTTATATCTGTTCTTATGTCTTATGTGTATTATTAATCACCTACTGTCCGGTTTTTGAAAAGTCTTCCTTGTAGGTTTTTGTTTCTTGTTCTTCGGCTAAATTAAAAATCGCTTAAATAAATAACGACCTTTTCCTATTTGTAAATTAAGTTAGCACTTATCCTCCGGTTTTATAACCAGAAAATAAAGTGCAAAATGTGAAATTTTCCCTAAAATAAAATTATATTGTTTTGTAGCTGAACATGGCAGACTTATCAAAACAGTCTTGAGATTTGGCGATGTAAAAAGTTGAAACTAAAATTTTATATAAAATGTATCACAAAGCGTTAGACTTAACATTTAAGATATTGTCTACAAAAATAGTCTTTTTTTCAGAAAGATAAGTTCCTAATTTCCCAAGAAGAGTTTGTAACATTCGGGAAGAAAAGGATCCAGAACTCACGAATCCATCCAGACTCGTTTATTCAAATGGCTCTTCAGCTTGCCTACTTCAGACTGCATTCCAGGTATTCTAATAATTTTTTACTATTACCATACTTGATTGCTATTACCTTCAAAATGGATACACTACTATGCATAATTTGTGATGTTCCCAAAATAAGGTCGTAGCCAAAATTGTGTTGTATCGTTGTATGCAATGTGAATCCTCCGTTATTATTTTTTTAATAAGCTTTTAAAATATTTTTACAAACTTTTCAGGTACGCTCCTTGCTATGAGACTGCCACAACACGGACATTCTACAACGGACGAACTGAGACAGTCAGGGCGTGCTCAGAAGAATGTGTTTCCTGGGTGAAATCCATGACGGACCCACAATGCAACGTGAGTTATTAAATTATTAAAAAGACATGCATATATTGTAGCGGTAATTTCTGGAAGTTAAGTTAATATTGTGGGTATGGAGTAAAGAATCGAACTATGGAGCACATAGGCAACATTTTTTTTTTTTTTTTTTTTAAGAGAAACAGCTGGTCTGCATAACTAATGTGAGGCAGGAATATAATGGCTTATATTTAGCTATGTAAGGGAGTTAGGGAGATCTCACAATTTTTTATATAATCTATATCATAGAATAACCAACACAACTAGACTTCTCATATGTTGAAGCTCGTTTTTCGTGTCTAGTTCATGTTCGTTGACACAGATAGCTAGTGTTGATGAAATTTTATTTCTATTATTTTAGGGTTAATTTAATATGGTTTGGGATTTACTGTTTGGTTATATTATATAACCACAAGTTATTGTTTAAAATTAGATAATTTTATTTGGTTAAACGAATACGTCTACAGTGCATCGGACAGAACTAACAATAAAATTGGCTTCAGCTGTTCCATAAGGATGAGAAATCTACTATGGGAGTATCTTTTATCTATGTTTATATTTAGTACCTAATTTAAATTGTTTATTATTCCAGGACACAACAAGAGCTAAACTCTTACTAAAGGCGATTCAGAAACATAACCAGTTGATGGTTGAGGCTCGCAGAGGCGAAGGGTGCGATCGTCACCTGATGGGACTGTACTGTGTTGCTGTGGAGAACAACCTGACTGTACCACAACTGTTTCAGGACCAGCTGTTCAAGAAAAGGTATGAAACAATAATAATTCTAAGTTTCTATTACGTTTTGAAATCTAACTATTTCCAGTATCCTATAGCAAAACAGGTGAAAACTGACAAGAAATGAAATTCACTCAAATGACCCAAGTAAAAAATAGTTATTTGTGTAACTAGTGGGTGAAGAGGCACTTTGATGCACATGAGAGAAACTTTCCACACTCGCCTACGGCTTGTGCGTAAACATTTCATCTCGTGTGCAGCAAAGGCAGTTTGCACTCGTATTACACAATATATATGTTTCCTAGTCTTTCAAACACTGTACAGCACATTTCTATGTTAGCAGTTTAAATCCAAATTGAATGAAATGGGAACACTGCGCCAGCTGATAGTAGTCGTAATATCTTTAAGTGTTGCCAACCTATTTTCAAGCGTAGCATGCTGTTTTGTGTTGTTTGGTTGGAATACTGGTGTGCGCCAAAGTAAGGCTTTCTGTACTATAATCTGTGCAAGGAAGCCCTCTTTGTCAGGTGACTGTAGGAAAATTATTAATTGTTATTGATTTGCCAAGTGTGGAATAATATTCTATTTGTTTTTTTTTGTTGCAGTGGAGGTGGAGGGAATTTCACCTTGTCGACAAGTTTACTAGGGTATTCTCCTATTGGAGGTGGAGTAGCCCCAATGTGTTTTGATGGTTATGGGGTTTTCTACAGCATATTGCCGGAAAGGTAATTGTTACCATTTACTAGAAAGTAGGTTTTCTTACAATTAATTTTAATGTTGAGATCTCCTTATTCTTTGAGGGATTCTTTTACTTAATTTATCATCCAAGAAAGTAAAAAGTTACATAACGTCATATTTATATAAATTGCTTTTTACATAGTCTTACAACAAATTTTAAGTAGGTACCTATTTATTTTTAAATCTGTCATGTGGAAGTGTAAAAAAACCTGTAAAAAAATGTGAACATAGCCAAGTACAAACATCTATATAAATAAAATTAGAGTTTTGTCTGTACATTGCTTAGAATAATGAACTTTTTGGTTATTTTTACATTTCATAGGTCAGAGAAACCGAATCAAACCTTATCTCAATTTCTGTCTGTCTGTCTGTCTGTCTGTCTGTCTGTCTATCTGTCATTCTCTTGGTAACGCTAAAATACGCACTTTATTACAACTACTCCTCAATAACTATAGCACTGTCCCGCCTGAAACTTATTTTCCAAATACTATACATATATGAGATGGTTTTAGACGTATTTCATCGAATATGAGACAGTTAGATATTTAACAGTAAACCCTTGAAAATCAAGTTTTTGTCGATTTTTGACGTGGAATTTCTGGAAGCCCATGTTAACCTTATGAGAAATGAAATTATTGAATCTTAACAGCTGTTTCAATTAAACAAGTTGGTTCTGTTCTGTGATGTTCAATAGCATTAAAGTTACAAGGATTACCAACAGGGTGCAGCACTAGCACTATTATTTCTTTTACATTTATGACAACAGCTAATTTGCAACCTGGAGGCGAGTGAGCGTAGCGAACGAGCTAACCTGAAGGCAAGTGAGCGTAGCGAACGAGCTAACCTGAAGGAAAGTGAGCGCAGCGAACGAGCTCCAACATACAGGTGAGTGAGCGTAGCGAACGAACTTCAACCAGGACGTGATTGAGCCATGCAAACGAGATCAGATAGTAAAAATAAAAGTAAGCCTACCGTTATAGGATCGACCGGCAGACACAGAGGTAATTTAACCTTTTATTGATTGTCATACCGATCCGGAACAACAAAAAACAACATAAAATGAAGCTATGTATAATAGTTTGGCCAGCATATCTTAAAATATGCAAACCAACTACTGTTCGTTATATAAGAAGGTTTCAACTGAATATTATAAGATCCCCGTGCGTAGAACGGGTACACAGCTAGTTTAAATTAAAGTCTCATATTTAATGCCATTGAGACTGACGTTTCACGACCTACAGCCCACCTCTCCCCTAAAAAGTTAGGTATCAAAACGGCAATATACCTATTACAAACCTTGGTATAGTAAATATTTCGGTAAATAATTTAAGCTACTTTGGTTCGTGGTTTTTGTCATGATAAAGACATTTTAGAATACTAGAATTTAAGGTTAGTTTTTTTTTTTCAACAATTCATAAATAACTTTTAAATCACATCTAGACAAACAAATCAAACCGATTAGACTTGCCTACAAAAGTAACTAAGTTGTATGCATTAGCCTATATTTCACAATTTAATTCTATTATAAAACCATTAATGAACTGTTCCAGGATAATATTCACAATATCAGTCCGTAAAGATTGCCAAGAGACTAGTTCACCTAGGCTGTTCCGAGAAATATCTCAAGCTCTCAACAACATGATAGAACTCTTGGAAAGGCAGACAGTTTCCAAGTTATGAAACAGAGCGAAACCCCAGACACATCACATAAATTGGACACTGTATGAGACCATGGTGGAACGAAAATATATAGGTGTGCTATTTCCGTCATATGCTGACGTCATTCAGATTGCAAACATCATTGTACCATTTAGAAAAATAATAAAAACAATAGCAATCAAATCAAAACAAATATAACTTGGCAATACAATCAGCTGATTTTTGGTTTGCAATCTGAGTGACGTCAGCATATGACGGGAATAACACCTATTGTATATTCATTCTATTTGTCTATGATTAGACATCGCATCTATATGGACAAGCTGAAGCTAGTTGTTTTACTTGAAGTCCTATAGTTTGAAGGGATATTCCAGCTTTGTATTAGGAATAAACAATTTATGTACTTTCAAGGATTATAAATTGTTGTTCACAGCTAAGTTACTCTTGGTAATTTAATTTTGATGATCTCTCTATAAAATTACCATATTAGGTAACTAAGGCCAGTTTATATTAAACATAGATGTTATGCATACAATAAAAGTGAAGGTTTCAAAAATGTAAAGTGTATTTGCAAAGCTTATAATGTTAGATATTTTAAAAGATGAAATTATTGAAATAGTATTATTATTTCATATTTGAGACTGAACTTTAAACAGAAGTACTATTGAAAGATTGCGTTTTGTTATGACTGAGAAATATATTTACATTTTTGTGTTGTTATGTCTATGTATATACATTTTCTCCTCAATGAAGATCCTTAATCAGAAGATACACCTTTGGATGAGTGCACACAAAAGTTTCTCTTGGAGCGGTAAGAAATCATTTACAACATATCAGTACAATGGAGAAAGTAATCAACGCATAAAATGATAACTGTATAAGATTAATTTGCTTGCATTGTGAAATCAATCATTACAACGTAGGGTTGCGGATTGAGAACAAAAGCTCACATAAATTGATTTATTGAACCATGTGGAATCTACACTCATGTTTATTGAGCAAGTGCAAAACCGATTCTACTATTTTTTACATCAAACTGGGTGTAGTATTTCCTCATGAAGACTGTTCCGAAGCACAACACGGGGGTTGAACTGGGTGTCTCCAACCCCTCGAGAACTACGAAGGGAGTATAGCAGAATTCAGATTTGTTGATGACTGCCTGAAACAAAATAATTATGAGTAATTTGTCCTTATCCAAAGCGCTTATTTAAAATTTACAGTTGAATAGCCTCTAACACAAGGCGGCGAAACTAAAGTGGCAACACAGCTGTTCTATCAAACCGAAACAGCTGTTGTATTAATTTATAATGGAGATATGCAATGTTTATGTTTACACTTTTGTTATTTCTGTTGTTACCATGGCAATAGGCATGATATTGCCACACACCAACTCCTGGCCTTGTATTAGAGGAGGCTATGGTTAAATTCATACTTTTAAAGATTCAAAGTCTCGAGTTTAATAACTTATTGTTAACTATGTTAACTGTGCAACTGGTTGCCTATACAGTCAAACAACCCTAAGAAGGCACTTATGTCTGGCGTTCGACAGAGAAAAGGGTCGATTGTGTAGGAAAGTTATGCCTTTCAAACACATTGGTTTGCCACCGAAACACAAGCTACCTGAGACTTGCCCTCTTCACACCCCTGACGGTAACTTTCTGTGCGCACGGTCCACCTAAGTCGATTAGTGCGGTGACTGGTCGAATATAAGGAAGACCCAACAGTTACTTTGGGGGTGGTACCTATAGCGTTTTCACCCTATCTGTAAAGTGAGAAGGGATTGTAGGACTATACCACTGACACAATAGACTACTTGATATGGTAATCGTAATATAGCGTATTCCTTTTTTAATAGTTTTTTGTTACCCATGTACTGTTTACAACGAACATGTCAATAAAGATTATTGTCTATTGTCTATTGTCCTTATAGGGGAATTTGTTAAAATTAAATTATTTTTATTTGGGCGAACTTATTTAGCTTGAGATAGCTATCCCTTTAATAAACAACAGTTTCTTACTTTGCACAAGATTTTATAATGGAAGCTTTGTTATTACAATTATAAACTTTTGAAATGGTACAAAAATATCTTCACTAAAAGATGTAAAACCCCAAAAAAAAAACCATCAGCCAGTTCTTACCTTCTTTACATAATCTTTTGCTGATAGAGAAAGCAGTTGATTGTCCATTGTCTTGAAAGCAATATCCTTCAGTTTTTCAGTATCACTACACATCAGCTGGAAACAGAGAATCGATTACACAAATAGTTTTATTAGTTTTGTTCTTGGTTTTTAGTTCAAGTAAACTTTAAACATAAAACTTAATTTCTAATAGACATGTCATACTTTTATTGTTAAGCCATCCTTAGCCGAAAATAGTTTTAAGGCGTAGTTTGTTCAGTATTCAAGGTTCAATATTTTAGCGAATTTCCCATATAGGGAATAAGCTATTACCGTAGTACTCATGGTAAGACCTGGACGCGGGACGGATTTAATTTTTCATTTTGAGGTCCCTAGAGGCCAAAAACACCATCCATTCAAATTTATGTATATATATATATATATATATATATATGGGGTTTATGGGGTAAAAATATATCAATAGTATATTGATAAAATTTGGCAAATTTATTTATTTCATCCTATACTATTGACGTATGGTCAAAAACACTTTTTACCTTCCCCGTAGCAGCAAACCTAAGCACTCGTTAAATCTAATGTTATTTAAATAGGGAATAAATATGTCTTATTTATGGAAATATTTGAGCAAAAATATAATCAGACAAGTTGAAATACGCTTAGTCTGCAGGTTTGCTGCGGCGGGGGTATTTTATTTTTTGCTAGGCATATACAAAATTATGCATTTGAAATGATCAGATATTAAAACTAAATATAAACCCTTCTAAAAAACTAAATATTACTAAGGACAGAGTGCAAAATTATCCTAGTATGAAGAATAAAAGGAAATTAATATTTGTACATTCATTCTATCATTACGGTACTCTAAATACTATAAATAAAATCTAATTATAAAATTAAACATTGAATAAAAACAACAATAGACTTTAGACTTATAGAGTGTGGTTTGAGTTTCAGTAGCTATTTACCCAACTTTGAAACTATTATGACAAAATAGACCAATAATTACCCTAAGAATATACCAAACAATAATAATCAAGACAAAATTAGCAAAAATTTTTAGGTCCATTTTTATATTTCTATTTCAGTTTTTGAAACAATTCAAAAATAAAATCCTTAATTCGGCTCCTCATTTCATGTACTAAGTATTGTTATATAGCAAGGTACTAACTTACATTGGTTTAGCTCTATTGGTACAAGTAGCAAATTTAAACTTTAATGTTTTTGAAATCAGGGAGTTTATAGTAATAGCTTTGACTATTGATATAACCATTGACTCTGTGATATAACCCAAAAGGTAATAGTGTGTGGTAATAGTGGGAATCTCTGCTCCAAGGTATCACAACACAATCCATCCCTTTTCCATACCTCTGAAGACGTATCAATTTATATTATCTATCCTGATTTCAACTTTTAGGTAAACAAAAGATCTTACCGTGTAAGCGTCATGAACCTTATTGGTCACTCCCTCAGGATCTACTGCCTTCACGATAGACTTTATCAAGTCCGCAGAACCCATCAGGAAGTCTGATCCGGAGTCTACGATCCCCATACATCCTCTATTGCTCACCTCTTCATCCCCAATGTATATGCTGTCAAAACAAGGTGAAATCAATGGTTGATCAATCTAATATATAAGGTTTATTGTGTTTGAGTTGTATGAAGGAAGAGACAAGTGTGAAAAAAGTATTAATGATTAGATTATAAATCAGTTTAAATACTTAAGATATAAAGTATGCACAGGGTGTCCCGGAACTCTCTGGAACCCTTTTATATGTGTTCTTTAGGTAAAAACAATCCAAAAACACCATATAAGGAACAAATATACAAAAGGGTTCCAGAGAGTTCCGGGACACCCTGTATAATTACCCTTTGAGGAAAAACCTCCAGTGTTTAGCCTCCTTGCTCAGGGTTCCGACAAATATAAAATCTCCCTTGTGGTAGTTTGGGTCCACTCCTCCAAGTATGAGTTCATTCTTGGAGCTGAAACAAATCCATTTTTGCTATATCGCCAAACACAACTACGCATTGCTTATTTTTCAGTTTTTTTATGCTAATTAAAAACTTGTAAGGATACGGTCCATACCCTGGTCTTACTTATAACGACCTTTTGTTATGTTGCTTCATTATCGTTCTGTTGAGTGGTCATAGTGCTCGCCTAATTTAAAGGTCACCATTTCAATCCTGAAAGAAGCCAATAGCTTTTCCTCCTAATTACCATCACTGCCAATGTTCCACTCAGCTACCCAGATAATTAATGCTTTGTTTCAATAACATTAGTGATGATGAACTGTTTGTTAGTTAATGTGTGTGGCAACCTCTAAAATTTGTTTTATAAGTATAGGGATTTTTGTGTTATAATGAGGATAAAAGGACATAAAGGTACACATAATTAAATAAAAAAAAAACTATTATAGGCCCAATTGGTTAATAGCTTCAACTGTACTAATCTACAATATAGAATTTAATTACCCAAATTATATTGAAAATTATTACTCGGAGAAGTAGAGGGAAAACATCGGAGCTGGGAGAAGATCTTGCATGATCATGTTGTGAAGCGGACACATTAGGTAATGCCGATCATCTTTGGGACTGAGGCCAAAGATGCCGTCGAAATATGTGTAAGGCAAATCTTGAAGAAGAGTTGCTTCAATGATCATTTGGTTGTGGATTGTCAGATTTCCAAGCTGAAATTGATGGAAGTTGAGGATTATTGTTCTTTCGCACAGTTTTAAAACTGTAAAGATGTTTTTACATCAATAGCTTTGGTACATAGACTATTCATATACTAGTAGAGTCCCGCAAACTCGGCACTCAATAACCCGGCAGTCCGGATAACTCGGCTATCACCTGGCTCAGAAAATTATTGATTTTTTTAGTTAAATATGTATGTACAGAGTATACATTTTTTTTATTTCCTAAGGTACCAAGGATTTGTTGTACTATATCTGATGACTTTATACTGACGTATAATATAATGTAATAAAAATACCAATAAAAAAGGCAGTAAAAAAGCTTAAAAATTGTATTGTTCTTATTTTTAACCCTATAGTTCCCGATAACTTGGGTTTTCACAAATTCGGCACCCTTCCAGTCCACATTACGCAGAGTTTGCGAGACTCTAGGACCATAATTTTCTGTCTTTTATAGATAACTGTACAGACAAGATAATCAATAATATGGATATGGACAGTTGGTGTTAAAATTTAATTACAAAGTAACTTTGTAAAGAAGTGTTTTTGACTCCATAGAGAATTTTGAGGTTAATGGTATAAAAGTACTCGGAGACACGAAAATGACTCCTAAGGAGGGGAGAGATGCTCCGATGGAGGTGGTAAGGTACTCTACCCCCACCACTTGGGTACCATTCGGCGGGTACTTAACCGGGGTGTTTGGCACCGAGAAGTCAGTTGGGCCTCCGGGCCCGACCCCGCCGGATGGGCGTGCTGAGCCACCGGTGTGGAGCCTGATGGGCGTGTTGAACCCCGGGCACCGTCGGACGGGAGTTGAGCCCCCGACAACCTCGCATGGGCGTGTTGAGCCCGCGAGACACCTGATGGGCGTGCTGAGCCTAAGGTACGCTGAACGGGCATGTTGAGCCCCCGCTACCGTCGGACGGGCGTGTTGAGCCCCCAGCACCGTCGGACGGGCGTGTTGAGCCCCCGGCACCGTCGGACGGGCGTGATGAGCCCCCGGCACCCAAGGACCGAGGATTCCTGGGTGAAGGTGCCAAGGATCTAGACCGCGGACCCACACGGATATCTTTTAGGAGTGTCATAGACCACCGGGCCAGTAAGGGCGCAAGCAAGACTTGATTTAACCTCTGCCCAACCCCTGAATACGAGTCCGGAGACACTGCCTGGTAGGAGGACTACGGACCCAGGATCAAGATTGTATATACGATTGTACATAGAAACATATGTGTTAGGATAAGGATAGAAAGGAATAAAATGGAAGTTTGAGATACCCAGAGTCTTTCACTTATCGACCCTTACCACCCTTGATAAGGCCTAGTGCTCTGGAGGAAACGTCCTCACAACTTTATAAGTCTTTGATCAGTAATGTCATTGGGGTGATGATAGATATGTTACTTATGTTATTATACCTATCTGTCTTTACATTCTGAATGATGTGGTCTATGCACTTGCATTGGGTGTCCAAGCATTATAATTATAATTTGATAACTAAAACAGTTTCTCATTCACAGGTTTTTAGAAGACAAACAAAACATTGCTGTTAATTGTAAAAACAACATAAATAAATATAAAGCAGCTTTTTGATTGTTTTTATAAGAGTAAATAGAATGTAATGGTTGGATGAGAATTGAAAATATTTTTGCAGAATTTCTACAAAATTCAATATGAACAACTGCCTTAAATGTAAACTATTCATAAATCATTTTTGAACACTAGGAAAAGTTTTAAATTGAATGATATCTTATTTTTACATTTTTTACATAAACTTTGAGGTACTACATCTTTAGGTCTAGATGTCAACTTACTCTTACAACCTCCAATGCAGTTAGTCCTTTGATCCGTCCTGAGGCATATTGGTTGTCAATAGTCTTGTTTAACCTCTCATAAGTGTTTTTGACTCCCTAGAGAATTTTGAGGTTAATGGTACAAAAGTACTCGGAGACACGAAAATGACTCCTAAGGAGGGGAGAGATGCTCTGATGGAGGTGGTAAGGTACTCTACCCCCACCACTTGGGTACCATTCGGCGGGTACTTAACCAGGGTGTTTGGCACCGAGAAGTCAGTTGGGCCTCCGGGCCCGACCCTGCCGGATGGGCGTGCTGAGCCACAGGTGTCGGGCCTGATGGGCGTGTTGAGCCCTGGCAGGGTGTCCACAAAAAATTTGTCATTAATTTCCATGACTTTCCATGACTATCCATGACCATTTACCATTGATTTCCATGACTCACAAACTTTACCCGCAAATTATAATATAACATACACACACAAATAATACTGCCTGGACATGTTATTTTGCAGAAAATACTGAAATATGTAATAACAGTTAACAATGGAGTACGATAGGTACAACAATGAACTAAAACAAACCGAAAACTCATAAAATAATACAACTGTAATAAATTGAATTGTCAAACATTTGTGAAAAATCCTGAAAAATGCTACAACAGTCCGGGTTACGGCTGCCTAGAGCATTGAATGGTCCCCTCAAATCCATCCATAATTGAAAATTTCCATGACTTTCCATGACTTCTTGCCTATTTCCCTGACTTTCAATGACAAAAAATTTTTTCCATGACTTTCCATGACTATCCCTGACTTTCCACAATGTGGACACCCTGCCCGGGCACCGTCGGACGGGCGTGTTGAGCCCCCGGCACCGTCGGACGGGCGTGTTGAGCCCCCGACACCCTCGCATGGGCGTGTTGAGCCCGCGAGACACCTAATGGGCGTGCTGAGCCTAAGGTACGCTGAACGGGCGTGTTGAGCCCCCGCTACTGTCGGACGGGCGTGTTGAGCCCCCGGCACCGTCGGACGGGCGTGTTGAGCCCCCGGCACCGTTGGACGGGCGTGTTGAGCCCCCGACACCCTCGCATGGGCGTGTTGAGCCCGCAAGTTACCTGATGGGCGTGTTGAGCCACGGGTACGCTGGACGGGCGTGTTGAGCCCCCGGCACCGTCGGCCGGGCGTGTTGAGCCCCCGGCACCGTCGGACGAGCGTGTTGAGCCCCCGGGACCCGGGGACCGAGGATTCCGGGCCGAAGGTGCCAAGGATCTAGACCGCGGACCCACACGGAGATATCCTTTAGCACACTTATGTTATTATACCTATCTGTCTTTACATTCTGAATAATGTGGTCTATGCACTTGCATTGGGTGTCCAAGCATTATAATTATAATTTGATAACTAAAACAGTTTCTCATTCACAGGTTTTTAGAAGACAAACAAAACATTGCTGTTAATTGTAAAAACAACATAAATAAATATAAAGTAGCTTTTTGATTGTTTTTATAAGAGTAAATAGAATGTAATGGTTGGATGAGAATTGAAAATATTTTTGCTGGATTTCTACAAAATTCAATATGAACGCCTTAAATGAAAACCATTCATAAATCATTTTTGAACACTAGGAAAAGTTTCAAAGTGAATGGTATCTTATTTTTACATTTTTTACATAAACTTTGACGTACTACATCTTTAGGTCTAGATGTCAACTTACTCTTACAACCTCCAGTGCGGTTAGTCCTTTGATCCGTCCTGAGGCATATTGGTTGTCAATAGTCTTGTTTAACCTCTCATATGTTGACGACAGACTACTTTTGAACGAATTAGCAGAATCTGAAACATGTGAAATTTTCAACCTAAAAATACGGGATTGATAAGCTTTATTTTAAATATGAGTTTTGAAATGTTCCTAAAAATGTATTACTACAAGAGTTTGGCTTCAGAAGGGCAATAGAATTTTCAAACTGTTGGAGGATGAAATTTTCAGTTCTTATTCACAGTTTTGTATAAACGTTTACTGTTATTTGCAATTACACAATTTGACAAAATCTATAAACTGTTTTTAGCCAGCTGTATTCTGTTAGCTCTGAAAATGGATTATTTTATATCAAGAACAGTCTTCATTCTCCTATGTAAGATTACACATAGAGATTCAACAAGTTCGTCTGGATAGCTGAGTGCCTGTAGTGCCTGCTTTCAAATCTGAAGGTCCCTGGTTCTACTCCAAGCAAGATAGCAACTGGATCCAGATGCCATTTTCAATTGGCTGCCAATTTAAAAAAAAAAGATGCTTCAGAAGTGATAAACACGTACATAAAGATATCCCTAGACCTACCTGGATTCCCAACGTTGGAGTTTTCAAATATACACTTGTCTGATCTAACCCACAAGTCCGACGACCCTGTGTCAAAAATCATGTCAAAGATTTGTGGCGGAGTCCCAATCGAAATCTTCCCTTGGAACTGTCCCTGGAAGAAAACTGACTTAATTCAAACGCCTCCTTGTCTGGTACATTTATTTTTAAACAAGACTATGAAATTAAATTAAAAATATTTGTCTTTGTTTGTAATTCTAAAAATATTCAATCATAATGAAATAGTAAAAAAAAAAACAAGTTAATAAAAAAAAACTAAAGCTTTGACTATAGCTGTACTCTGCCTTCGGTGCCTTAAAGAATAAACTTTTCAGTTACATTACTGACATTGTACTACTGAAAATACAGTTTATTTCACCACACTACTGTACACATCCCAGGTATTAAAATAGGAAAATTGAAATTCTCTGAAGCCAACCTTTCAGTCAAGTTGCCTTTGTGTTTTTTTTTTATTAATTTAAATATATTTGTTCCTTACAGTCTATCTGTAATTCCCAGCACATGACCATATGTAAATCAAGATTGTTGCATTCTTTCATCAGGAATCACCTCTTATAAAGACATGATCTAATATATTTTCTCTCATAAAATAAACCTCTTTTGTATCAAAACCCTGTATATTTCCTCCCTTATATTTAACTACACCGCATATTTTTCATAAGGACAAAACATATACATAGGACTTATGTCTTTAATCGAAGACAGTTTATAAAACTACCAAATTCCTAACGAATATGTGAACAAACAACTTACGTTTATTTCGTTGTACTTTAGAGGAACTCTGGTAATGAAATCATTCGGAGGTTCAAGTTTGACATCCAAACTATAATAATCAAGTTCTTCTTTTGTAACCATGCTATGCTTCATATCTCTTATAAGTTCTTCCCTTTCCTCATGGCCTGAGAGAAACTGTGACATAGCTTCGACATTTCGTCTTCGTCTTTTTGCTTTAGTTGTGCTTTCTGGGGGATTGTTTTGTTCTTCGAGCATTTGCTTGTATATTTTCACTGCCCCTGTTGGTAACGGGCCATCGATTTTGAACTTTGGATTAGCCTTGATGAAACCTTGGTCGTCTTCATAAAAGTTGTCCTTTTCATTTGGATTTTCAGTTGTCGTTTGAACATTACTGCAAAAGTTAAAAACTTGTAGTAATGTTAATTGTTTATGTTTGAGGTAAGATCAAGGAGTACTCTTTTGAAAATTAATTTCAATATCTTTATAATGGTTTAAATATTTTATGACTGGTTTCTTTTGGATCTATTTAGAGTGAGTTTGAACATAGTCAAAAATAATTAAATATAAACTGTCAGCCTTGCAGTGGTTACCATAGGTTCTGGCACACACAGCTCGGAGTGCCATGTAGTATGGCCTACAAGATACGTAACTACATGGCGCTCCCAGTGGTGTGCGCCAGAACCTATGGTAACCGCAGCACAGCTGACGGTCTATATTTAATTCTATTTGTCTATGGTTTGAATAAAACTGCTTTCACACCGGATTTTGCACAAATCCACACAAAATTCACAAAACACAATCCAAAACAAAAGTACTGTAAACAGATGTTTATGACTTTTTTTGGAAAACAAAGTTTCAGTAAAAACCCCTGAAAATGGTTTAAAACATTGACATTTTTCCAATAAAACATAAAACCAGAGTTTTTTTTCGATTGTTTTGCAACAAGTACTGTAAACTGTCTAATCACAGCTTAATAATAGTTCTGTTTGTTTAACCATTTAGATCTATTTACATCTTCTCAGCAATCTGACATGTTTTTTAGAATTTTTTTGCACATTATTTATTTGTATATTGAGTTTTTTTTCAACCAAGACATATGTTCCATAATTTTTCAATTTTATAGGAATTGAATAATTTAAGAAAACATTAATGATCAAAGGAACCATATATGTTAAAATGCATGACTCAGAGTTGTAATTCTATATTGTTAAAACTTTAACTTTAACAATAAAATAAATATTCCTTATTTATGGCTTAAAATTTAAAATTGTATAATTATTTTGTGAGAATTCTATACAATACCTGATATAAATAATAAACAGAACAAATTTTAAAACCACAATCACTTTCATGTTTTGTCTCACTGTATTTTATGGGACTCAACAGTGTATAAGTTATATAACACATTGCTTATCTGTCCTTGTTGATTAATTTTAGTAACAAAATGTTTATGAATGTAATGTTCATTACAAAAAGTAATACTTTTATTGCAACCATTTAATGATGAATTTGGCAATCTGAAATCGCCAAAATCTTTATTACCGTACTAGGCAATTAAAACAGACATTTAAGTATTAGAGTACCGGTATTTAAATTGATGCATCATGTCTAAAAATATATATTTTTTTTTATACAAATTGAGAAACACATACACAAAATATGGCGACTTTACTATGTTTACTAAACAAAATATAGTACACTAAACCTGCAAATGTCTAAGAGCAATTATTTTTGACTGTACAGATACTACAGTGAATTAGACTTTCCAAATTTGTATTGAAAAGCAAGTTTTAAAATAATAAAGAATTTAGAATCCAAAGTCAAAATACAGCTCAAAATAGCCTTAAAAAAATTGTTTTTCATTGAGCAGACTAGATGATAAAACATAAATACTTTGTATCAAATACTAGCAATTTAAACATCTGGTATGCCTCATGGAATATCCCTAATGAACAATACCATTAAACAATCTGACATATGTTTCTGGTTAGGAAAACACTATAAATATATAAAAACAATTACTATAATTATGGAGTCGTAGATAAATTATCTTCACAATGTTGGCCAGACTGATATTTCCATAGCAACAAGGACAACAATGAGTTGTTTGGTCAATCAGCTGTTCCTTTTATTTGGATTTACTACTTTGAAGTTGTGTTGAGTGTTAATTTTGTTTTAACAAAAAAATAATATAAAACACTTATATTATTTTACTACTGAGGCAAAGAATCGAGTAGTGAAATGACAACTTTTGTATATCAGAATGGCTTACAAATATTGGCTTTACAATTTTATTGGTAAATTTCATTAGTAATCTATGATTCTAAGTTAATATACTGTTTTAGAAAAATATAGATTTGTATTAAGAACCTGAGTTGCACAAAATTGGCCATTCATTGTACAAAATATTAAATTTATTATTTAAGTTACTATACAAATTTTAATTATTACACTAGTTAAGCTCAGGCAGAGCGGTTATAGTTCAATACTTATTAAAGTTTTGTTAGGATAAGTGTGCTTAGAACTTCTAAAACTGTGCATGGTAAAATTTAACAGGAACAGAATAACAAGATTTTAAGGCGATCATATACTGTCAGTTTTTATTTATTTATTTTTTTTTTTGCTTTAGCAACAGCTGAAACACTCAAGTCTTATAATTGAGTTTGTAAAAACAGTCAAAACGGAATAAAAATTTTAAATTTTCTGCAGTATAATATTTTTTAAAAGACTCTTTCAACAGTAAATGAAAATTAAAAGCTAATATAAGAAATGAAAAGAAAATTCAAAACACTCTTGATAGAGAGCTACATCCTAAAAAAAACAACTCAACAGTGATTTCCTTTTTTTACTCTATGTACACAATGCTTAATGTATTAAAATTTACTGTAAAATGGTTTTGTTTATAAACAAATTTTTAAAAACATAAGCTACATAGAAGTGATTTAATCTAGGATTTTTTTAGTTTGTTTTTTGTTGAACGTACTTCTGTTACCGTATCTACAGTGTGAATTAAGAAGTTAATTATTAATATTTTGGACAAAGTTGGTAAATTTTGTTAGTTTTGAGTTTTTGTGTAGTTTACCTAGTAGGTTTTCATTGATTGCAATTGCAGCATATTTACCAAAATTACTAAAGCTAGTAACTAGTAATTAACCAGGTATATCAACTAACTATAAATAGAGAAAGGAGACTTTTCATCCTTTTTAATTCCTGCAAACAAATAAATAACTATATTAGAATTAAAAATGTCTTCAAACTCATATTTTATTATTTTTATATTCTAGGCCTACTGAATGGATCAAAAGGCCCAGAAATCTTCTCTTCGGAAAGATTCTGATAAGTCAGAAAAACGTACTAAGAGTATAAGAAGTTTGAAAACAATCTCCCGTCTGGATTCCAAAGAAGAACATTTTAAGCCAAAAGAGGAGCGGAAGTCAATTGCAAAAACAGAAATCTCTAAAACAGATGAGGCGTCCGATGTTTTGGATGGTAATGCTCATAGAAAAAGGACAATATCTAAAGATATTGATGATTTAACTGATCATCGGCTTTCAAGGCTAAGACACTCAAGAATGGATATCGAACGGCAAAGTACAGCATCGAGGAAGAAAGGTGGGCCAAAATCAGTAGCAGCACACAGTGCCGCCTCTATAATATCTTCAGGTAAAATATACACATTACAAATTAAAGTGCAATAGAAAAAACAGAACACAGTACAGTAGTTAAATATGTAACAAAGACATGAGAAAATAGATTTTACAATAATTTATTGTTTTCTTAAGGTTTTAGGTATTTTGACTGCTTTCACTTGAACATACAAATTATTTCCCTGCTGAAGACACTGAAAAAATATCAATTTTGATTTATGGGTGGAACCACACGCTCAAAAAGTGATTGAAAATAATTCAGCATAGGCTAGACCATCATTTGGTTGGATATTCCATGTTCACATTTTATGTTTTTGATGGGTTTCAGTGATCCAGTTCTAAATATTTTCAGGTTCCGCTGTATCCCTTGATCTGGATGTGGTAACGCTGATGGTGCCGGAGACAGCTCAGAAAATTGCTCACTGTCAGATCGGCAAGGACTTGTTTGTGGATAAAACTTGGTGCATGGTGAAAAAGAAGGATTTGTTGGAGGATATTGCCATTGAAGACGCTAATTCTCCGTTCTTTCACTTGACCCAGAAACTCTTGGTATGGTTAATTCATGGTCTTGCCAAAAACATTGGATGTTCATGCAACTTAACTTACCGTAATTAGTAAGGTGTCGCTTGCTATAGAGGTCCAACTATCTAAAAACGAAATGGTAGGTTTCATAGCCAAGGAAACCTGTGTCTAGTGTATAGGACATTATGACATACCCTATGAAAATCCATTTAACAGTTAACATATTTTTTTGTACACAAACAATTATTTAATTTTACCAGAGCGACAATGTAACATGGTGGTTGAATAGAAAATGATGAAATGTCAATATCTCTTGTTAATCTTTGCCATATTGTATAGTAAAGAGGATAAAACATAAACTTTTATTAATTCTGTGCAATTTGTACAAAATAAAATTTACGTCAGTTTTCACATGGGTACTGTTCTGTCATAATATTTTATGTAATTTCAGGAGTACAAGTCAGATGAACTCCTGATAGGCTATGAGCCGTTTGCGTCCGAGCCGAACCAATTCATGCTCTGCGTGACGGAGACTGGTCGAGACGAGGTGTTGGCTAAACTGGAGGAGATGAAGACATCCTACCTTCAGCGTATCCAACAGAGCAAGGAAGTAAAGCCTAGAAAGTGGAACTCCCTTGGTAGTGAAGAGTTTGTTGATCATTTCCAGATCAAAAACACAAGAAAGCTGGTAAGTATGAAATAATGTGAGAAAAGTGAAAATTCTGTGACTTAAAAGGTAGAGTAGAATATTTGTAAGGATTAGCGCAAAGGCTTTCTGACAAGTACAAATAAATGTTTAACAGATTAGTCTGGAATGGATTGGCGACATCAGAAAACGTATAGAAAAGCCTCCGATATTTGAAGACTGTGACCCGGACGACATGAAGAATGGATACACCTGCCTGGTGCCCTCTGATAAAGAGAAGTTTGAGCTTGTCTATAGGAAAACTCAGGAAACTGGAGTTCAGGTAAAAGCATTTACACATCTATAGCTAAGATGCTTGAAAATATTTCAAATTTATAAGCAATGGCAGTAGCTAATTTCATATAACCATGCAGGCAGTGGCTTACCATATCATGATCATGCAAGCAGTGAATCACTCTTTATCAAGCAGGCTGTGGCTCACTTTTATATTATCATGCTGGTAGTGTCTCCCTTTTACATAATCATGAAGGCAGTGGCTCACATTCACATAATCATACTGACAGTGACTCACTTTTACACAATCATTTAGGCAGTGTTTCTGCTTCTATTGTGCAGGCTGTGGCATATCAAGCAGAAGCAGAGGTACAGACAGAGCCAGAAATTCCGACCAACGCCAGCACTCAGTATGCACCAGAAACTGAAATATCACTACCGGACACGGCAGTTACTCAGGCCTCCATCAAGTCTCAGGACTTGGACGAGTTCTTCAAAAAGTATAAGGACTAGTAAGTTTTTGATGTAAAGTTATTTTTCCTTAACGGTTTGGGAAAAAATATGTGGTTAAAGCAAAACAATATCCTTTTACATTGACAAATCATCTTTGTGCTCTTAAGGTCCTGGCTGATGAAACAGCTGGTCATAGTCTTAACAAAAAGCTATTTACATAAGAAATGAAATTTGCTAATTTTCATTCATATTTTGGCTTAAATTCTGTATGTAGTTTTACCTCATGCCCTAATCATATTTAGAGTTCATCATTCTTTCTAGTAAAGTAGGTATACTTGGTTTGATAGAATTTCACCTTAAATTACTGGGTTCTTACGTACTAGAAGAGGGGCTTTCACTGTCAAAATAGCTAGCTGTCAAATCTTTTGTCTTCTCTTGCATACAATTGACTGTGATGGACTTTGAAACGTGAATGTAGTCTGATGAGTTTGGCGGAATAGTACACATCTTTATTTTACAATAAACCTTTGCTTTTTCATATTTCATCAGTGTGCTAAAACAACTGTTGATCAGTCCAACAAGCCATCTTAGCTCTTAGAATCCGTGCTAGGGATTTTGATCCCCCTAATGTTGTTTAGTAAGATTCTCTTCATCAGTTTGATAGAATGCCTCGAGTACAACGAGGTGTACGACTTGTACCATGACGACTACCCAGCGCTGTACGTGGCCGGAGAGCAGACACAGGTACAACAACTCGGCACGTACCATCAGTACCAGAGCTTCACGGATGTGGCTGCCATACAGGGGAAACTGGTCGTGAGCAGCTGTTGGCATCCGAACTACACAGGTAGAGTGGCGTGTTGACTTTTGGATAGGGAGCAAGCTGCTCTTGTAGAGTGCAGGAATTGGGTTCTGAGGGTTTGGGTTCAAATCCGTCCAATCACCAATCTGTGCGATAATGTCGCAACCCTCTAGGGCTAGTATGCAATGTGCAAAACGGTTCTGAGCTGAGCCTAGGGTCCTATGATGTGAAGATGGGAAAATTTGACTTTTAGATTTCCAAATAAACATTCCCATTACCGAGTTAAAGCTGAAGCCAGTTTTAGCATAAACTAGCTGGTGTCTGGGGCAGTTTTACGCAAATACTGTAATAGTATAAGAGAGCTTCTTTAAAATCTTATCTGTCTTTAGCAGGCTTACTTACTAAACCATGCAGCCTTTTAGTTTATTAATGTTTTTCATAACCACCACAATTTACTGATATTCCACTTTGACAGGGATTGTGGCGATTGCTTATGCCAATGAGATACCTTGCCTCATGAAGGAGTTGGAGTTTGACAGCGACCAGACTGACTACGAGGAGGAGAAGACTGACGGGGAAGAGGAGGGGGGAGAAGAACCGGAGTTGGGAGCCGGTGCACGTGATTGGCTCCTGGAGGAACGGAGGGAGAAAGAGAGCACAGGAGAAAACACGGAACTGTTTGAAAAAGCTGTCCGGAGACTTAAGGATATTGAGGCAGCAAAGGTAAGATTTTTTAAGAGAGGAAAAATTATATGCTTTACCTATGTCATTGTAACTTAATTATTATTTGTTGTTAAGTAATTCAACAATGGAATGCTAAGTAATTGCTAATCAACGATAAAAGTTTAAAATCTTGCTTTAATAGAGTATAACTATAAATACAAAATCAAAGTACTGTAGAACATTATTATCCAGTCTAATTGATACAAAACGTCTGAAGAAATCCCTAATAGTTCTGATTTTTTTTGTTCAAAGGGTGTTTGGGATGCCAAAATTCAAGAGGAGACTGAGGAAGTTCGGAAATCTATGGACGATACGCAAGAAACAGATTTGTTTGCCAATTTGCTAAAATACAGAGAATACAAGGAACCTGAACCAGAGCCTGACGATAGTGCAACTTCACGGGTAATCTGTTGAAAGAATTGTCTAATTTAAGCTGTAGGATTAGTGTTGAAATATTGATTCTTAAAAATGAAGTAAGAATATTGAAATGGGGACTCATTTCTTTAGTAGTTCTGATAAAAGATCATAAGTCATAAGTCATGTTTTATGTAAGATGATGGTCTATTACAAATATACCAAACTTTTGTTTTGTTTGGTTTCTATAACCCATTGTTACAACATATCAGTCCTGTTTTATAAAATATGTCAGAACCATAAAGATATTTGAAGAACTTTTTACCTTTGGAACACCATGGAAAAGTGTCATTTTATGTTCCTTTCAAAAATCCTAATATTTAGTAATTTTGACACTTTTTTTTTGCATAGTGGAACATATTATTAACTCGATTTAACAAACCATTTTACAACATTGCTATCCAAATAATTTCTGTGGAATCTTGAACTTAAATTTTGTATCTGTGCAAGTGTTATTGTTATTGGATTATCTTTGTGTGCAGAAGTCGGTCGAGCATGGTGAGGGTGAGAAGGGGGAAGGGGGAGAAGGAGAAGAAGGTAACGAGGGTGGAGAAGAAGAAGATACACAGCAAGTGTCCGAAGAGGAAGTGTCACCGAAGTCTAGTAGGATGACATTTCGACAGCAACTAGAGGCTGATATTGAGGAAAGCTACGAGGGACAACACGGTAGGCTATGTCAAATATTAACCAAAAGAATATTAGCTATAAATATACAACTAAATAAAAATATAAGACATAAACCCAAAATAATGCTAAACAAACTGAATTGTTGGTCTTATAGTCTGTATGATAAAACACGTCTCCTGACCCTTCGTTTACCCAGGGAGATGGAGGGCCAGGAGGCAGGATCCATCATACAGACTATAAAGTTATTGTAAAAGTATAGTTTTGACTTATTTTTGACAAGTTAAAAGGTTTTTTCGGTCTTTAGAAAAGTTAAAACTGAATTTAGCTGATATATTTCAATTGGTTCTGACTAGTGACTACAGAAACAGCTAGTTTTGACCAGTAAGACTGTTGTCATTTTAATTACTAAGCTGAATATGAAACAAGTGCTGACTGAAAAATGGAGTGAGATGATCTATGAAGCATTTGTTAACTGACTGATCAGATGTTTCTTTTGAGCCATGATCAATGATGAACAGGAACAGCTGGGTCCAGTTTCAAACCATCAAAAAACCTACTCAATTTTCTCAGAATTAAACCGGCAACATTTTGATAACCAGGCGAGCACTGTATAACTTCTCAGCTACCCAGCAAGTTTCATAGGTCATTTCATTTTATTCCACACTTTGAATACACTTAAAATACTTTTCTGTTAGACCATAGCTCTTTTGATAAGTCCATAATTATGTATCTAGATTCAACTGTGTTAATGTGCTACTAAACTCAGTCAAAAGTGATTTAAAAGCATGTACAAAAATTGCATTGTCTTCTTTGCTTCCTATATGAATGTTATCTGATATCGCTGATAATGTTCCAGTTACCTCAGAAGTTTCTTCAGCATCTGGCGCGAATGATTTCTTCATCCCAGCAAGTGAGAGCTCGACAACGAGAACAAACGCGGCTCACGCGACAGTAGCGTCACGGCAACCTTCTCTTCCTTTGAGGACATCAAGAAACACTATAGGGTAATCCTCTGCTGTAGACAAAGATTTTATGCTTTCAGTTGGATAGAAACGAAAACTGAGATTCTGCTGTTGACTGCTGTTATGCAGGGAGAGAAATGCTATGCTACCGGTACCTAAAATGTTTATGCCCACTTCTTGGCTCCAATATTTACTAAATCACTCCTTCAACTCTAGTTTGTTAGGGGAATTGATTACCTGAAAGATTTCCAAGTGGGGTGGATATTCAATTTCTAGATCGTATCTGCCATTGTTGACGCTACTACTATTCTTAATGAATGTGTAAATAAAGATTAATTGTCTATTGTCTATTGTCTATTGCCAAAGTACTTGACAAACCTTGATTGTTTATATCCACTGGTGCACTTTAAAGTTGCCTGGCTTCTTACATCACCCACTTTCGTCCTATTTGCCTACTTGCTTTTTGGGTATGATTTCCTGTGTGTCCACTTTCTTTTATCGGAGTGCTCAGGCTCGTGATTTACACGTGACATGCCATGGGCCTGAGAAATAATTATGGCCACCCCTCCAACCCCCATTGCAGTGGAATTTGTATCCTTGCACCCTCAAAGAAACCTAAAACCTCCCTTTGGCCCATTTACTAAAGCTGAAGGTGCTTGGGGTAGGCCTACTAGGATTTTGCCCTTAGGTTTTGAAAATTATTCCTTTATACTGTTCCATTCCGTCCAGGTTAAGTTTCTTGCTCTACACTTGGATTACATTTTATTCACAAACGAAGCTGAGGGAAATTGATTTATTATTCTTCTTCCTTCAATATTAAGTAAAACTAATAATATTCTCTTAAAAATTCTAGTACACATGATTTGTCAATAGATTTTTTATAGAAGATACCAACATACAGTTCCACAGCCATTTTTATAGTAAAGCTCTAAAAAGTAAAGTAAAAGTTCAGTAATAAATTTAATTGTAAAAACTGATGGTTGAAACTTGAAACCTCTATTGACTTTCAAAATAAAATAAAATTCTGTTTTGTGCAAATAGAAAGGTATGCTAAACAGGTTTATTGCTTTTATATAATTCATCCCTTTTGAACAGGTCTATATCTTCTACCCGTAAACAAGCGCATCATCGCAAGAAACAGAGACAGTAAGTTAATTTTGTGTTACTAAATGGTTAAAAATCAATTGTTATGTTGGCACAACTTTATATGTGTATAGTGAATAGTGCACTTCTTTGAGTATTTGGACACATGTAATTTGTGTTTTATGTGTGATTGTCTTGTTAATGAGTTGACTTACGTTAAATTGGCTACTGACCTCAACACAATTCTATACAACAATAATGCGCTCCTAATAAAAATTTTTTTGTTTATGCTCAAGTTAATTTGTAACTATTTCTGGATTTTATGAATAGCCGAGTGGTTTTAGTTTTTAGTGCTCACCTTAAACTCTGAAGGTTGCTGGTTCGATCACGATCAGATTCAATTGTGGATCCAAAAGACATTTGTATTTCGGCTGTCAATAATGATGCTACCATAACAAAAATTTGACTTAAGATAGAGAGACAGATGGATTTAAAGTGTTCCTTCACCAAAAACAAAGAAAATTTTAATGCAGTCTAAACACATAAAATAAAAATAAATACATTTCAGGCACACTGCCACAGGCAGGACCCATTCTGGGAGAGAAATAGAAAGCTCAACTCCTAAATCTTCTGTGGATTCTTCATCCATGTAAGTATTGTAAACAAATATTACAATATACATAGATCTAAGAGAAAATTTACTTAGGAGATTGATTAAGCTGATGCTATTAAGCTTCTTTATTTGTTTTGAAAAAGATGTCACTTTAATCTGCATTACGAATTTAGGCAAACAGCATGATAGTGGTTTAAAGGGGTTAGAACAATATTTCCAGATTTCTATGGAATGCAATGATTTATGTAACTGTTACAATATCTGTCGAGCTGTTTTCATATGATTTGCTGTAATTTTTTGAGGAATTTTACTTTCTTCAGCTTCTTATTTAAGGTTATGAAATTCACATGGTCAATTCAGCTTGTAACTTAAAATTACTTAAAAAATTACACAATAATTTTGTTTCAAGAATATTTTGTGGTAAGAAATATAACTGAAATGTATACCGAATACTTTTTCAGGGAATCAAAAATATTGGAGACAGGTAAAGAGAAAGATCCCTACCCAGATTCGGAGTTCTTTGATGAAGTTACTGATGAAGAAGAGATAAAAGAGAAACAGGATGAACTTCCTCTTCTTGAGGTTAACAATCCTGTCTTGATTTGGAGCTTTGTGGATGACCTGACTCCAAAGGTAAGAATGAAAATTTGCTTTTACGTTAAAATTATGAAGGTATTAGGTAGGTATTAATGTGATATTTGCAATGAGATACATAGTGGATCTAATAAACTTTTTTCATTTAGGGTTCAACAAAATCAGTGTGTTTACTCCTTTATCCTTTATTATAAAGAATAAACTATCTGACACATGTAATTTTTTTATGGATCTTCAGTGGGACCTCGATAACAAGTCACCCTTGATAACAATAAGGGTCATTTTCAAATACCCTTGAATTTTGTTACTCCTAAACACACGTTATTGCAAACCTCTATAAGAAGTCAAAGTTGATTACAAGGTTTCCCCATAAGAGTCTTGTTATCAAGGTTCTTCTGTATTTGGCTATTTCGATTTATTTAAATTGACTAATAGTTCTGAGTTGCTTAGCTACGTCTGGACAGTCCATACGAAGTGAGAGTCGTATCCTTCAGCAAACACAACGGGAACCTGATTGCCGGAGGGACGTCCAGTGGTCAAGTAGTCCTGTGGGATATAACGGGACGCATCGAGGAGCTGGAGAAACCCGAGAGTCTGACACAGAACCAGCAAATGTTCCGGAAGAGGATGGTGAGTCCGGTTCGAAACAGTAACTACCTGTTTGCTATTAATTCACTCAAAGATATTTGTGGCAAGTGGCAGTTACGTTTTATAAAGGCTTTCGGAAATAGAAATTCTGATCCTATGTTGAAGTCGAAGCCAGTTTTAAATTTATATTTAGTATGAAAGAGTTACTGACATAATGTTTGCTAAGACAAAATACAGTTCATATTTCTTACTTAGACAAACTCTCTTTCATACCAAACTGAATTTAAAATTTACTGTCAACTATTCCATCTTTCATTTTTCTATAATTTATGGCATTCCAGCACTAATTGACATCATTGGCATAAGAGGCTAATTTGACTAAATCTTGAAAAATAGCTATGAAATGAAATGAAAATGAAATGAAATGAAAATGCTTCTTTATTGAGGCGAACTTAGGACCACATGGTCCTTTCTTACAGTTAACCTCTAAAAACTAATAATAACAACAAAATAATAACAAAAAATACAATAAAATTTGTAACATAGCTAAATAGTATAAATCTATTCATCTTCCCTAACATACAGTCACACACACATACACCCTCTGCTGCATCTAGGCCTAACGCACGCCATCCTGCCATCAAGCTATCTCATTGATCATTTTAGAAAAAAGCCAATGATAATACTGATGATAGAAAAGGATTTTGTTAAATTTCACCTTAATATTTAAGGCTACACAAAACTTAAAATTGTAGCCTGTTGATGAGCTATTCATTCATAAAATTTATTTAAAGGTTTAACAAATTTAAGCGATGATTCAGATATTTGATAAATGATTTACCTGATTTTATAGTTTGACTAGACTGAAATAATAATGTAATATTGATCAACAAAGCTTTGGTGTTGACAGGAAGACTTGATGAGTTGGAGACGAGATGTGCGTTCCAAGAGAAGAGTTCGTTTCACAGCCATCAGCAGTCAAAAGGATTCCCACTTGGAGAAGATTTCCGACCTAGCTTGGGTCACCCCCACCACTGTGGTAAGAGAATAACGTAACCTTTTGCATGGGGGAGCCAGCTGGTCTAGAGCGCACGACTTCGGTCTATGTGGTCCTGGGTTCAAATCTATTGGTTACTATTGGATTTCATCTAAGTGATAATCCCGCAACCCCTAGGTCTTGAAGCAATGTAAAAAACAATCTTGGTCTAGTGCCTGGCGTTCTAGGACAAAAAAAAACAGTTTGCATAGTTTATTATGTATACTATTCTGTAAACACTATAAACGGAGCAGCTTTTGAATAATACAAAGTTAGCCTCCATATAGTAAATCTTACAAACCGAAAACCATGTAAGGTTGTTAAAACTATAACCATACCAAATTTTTACAGGTGACAGATAATTTGGAAATTTTAAAGAACCCATCCACCGACTCCCTGCAATTAATTACCTGCAGCGTTTTCGGCAACTTGCACGTTTGGGACCTGAAAACCGAGCCTGGAAAAGGAGACCATAGGAAAGTGCCGCAGATTTTCAAAACGAAAGAAAGGTTCGGCCGTCCAGCCTCATTGGACATGGGTTTGTCCCCGTATTACAAACTGAACCGTTTTTGGAAACCAATATGTAAAGTAAGTAACTTTATTCTTAGTCATATTTAGACTTTTAGATTTTTTTGTAAACATTTTCACTTACATGGGTAATTACTTTGCAATTTAAAGGTTACAATGAATCATTGGCCTTACTTCAAATCCTCAAACTAAAACATAGAATAAATACAGTAGACTCCCTCTTATCCAGACTCCTCGGGACCGAAAGCCGGTCCGGATAACGGGTTTTCCGGTTAAACCGACGTCCCAAAAAACTCGTTAAAACGGACCGTTTAAATGCATACTGTATACATTATTTGACTTAAATTTAGAAGAGCATTGTATTTAGAAACTTGATCACTGGCACCAAATCTTTCCCACGATAACATTTACTGCCCACTTCATGCCGATCTAGTCCGATTAAACCGATGTGCTGATAAGAATTGTCCGGTTAAGGAGATGTCATTGATGCCAAATGTAGTCCGGTCAAACCGATGTCCGGTTAAAAGGTGTCCAGATGAGAGGGAGTCTACTGTACTTAACATGTTTTCATCTATTATAGTAAGATGGATTAAAATTGATATGTTTATCTAAACGTCTAGACAGAAAAAAATATGAAAGAAACAATGTAATGTCTGGGGATGAAGACAATGCAACCACCTTGACTAGATTGCAGCCCCAAACCTAAAATCTATGAAATTCTACAGTTAAATCTTTGAATAGTTGCTGAGGGTATGCACCATACCAAAATCATGCCACAGAGAAGTAAGACACAGAGTAAACTCTCTTTTGGAAAGACTGTGCACTTTCAGCTCTTGTGTGTCGTGTCAGAAATTAATAATGACTAAATGAGTTTATTTCCATTAAAAATTGCAAAGTAAAATATACTTGTGACGAATGTTGTGGAGAATGTAATGTACTTGTAGTACATGATGGCAAGGGGGTGGTGTTAAACTTTGCTCTAAACACCAGCACTAGTGTTAGACACCGCTGTGTACCATTGGATGTTTTCTCTTTACCTTACTTAACTGTGGCAAGCCAAATCTCTGGAGTGAGGAAAATATGAAGACCAAGAAGATGGCAACAGCATTTAGAAGACCTGGGAAAATAAAATTGTAAAATATAGAGAGCCAGATTAAAGATAGAAATAGATTAAAACATATGAGGAATAAATATCCACATGCTGTAGGACTAAGGTAAAGTAGGTGGGAAGCGAGCTGGTCTAGTAGATAGAGCGCAGGACTTCAGTTCCAGAGGTCCCAGGTTCAAATCCCGCCAAATCACCAATGGATTTTATCTATGTGATAATGCTGCAACCCCTAGGTCTAGCCTGAAGAAACGAGAAAAAAAAACAATTGGCTCGCGCCTAGTGTCCTAGGACAAATAAAAAGTATAATAGGTGATCAAGAAGAGTTAGAAAGTCAACTTGTTGGTTACAGATGACAATAATGTACAAGAGCATGCCAGTGCTGCTAACAGGGTTCAACCAAGCTGCGGCGGCACTTCCAGGGAAATACGTCAGAGTTACACCTAGACAGCCGGGCGTTAAGGAAATGCTTGAGGACCGGATAGAATATAAAGCAGGTAATGTTGCTTATGAGTATTGTTATTATTTTTTAAATATAATATTGATAGTTTTGTAGTAATAATAAGTGTAAAAAATACATCTGAAAATTATCATGAGAAGTACAGAGTTTAGAGTGAAGAAACATACCCCAATTATCGAATGTACAGTTAGTCATGCAAGTTGGGCATCTAAAAAATGTCAAGCATCGAGTTAAATGCTAAATCTATGTGATGTAGTATAGTTACTTCTTGTATGTGATATGTGATATCTCATATAAATTAAAATCAAGTCAGTGTAAATATTATCACTCACATCCGCGAACTCCAATTTCTTGACTCATGTAAATTTGCTTCTCACATCTAGTTATATTAATAAAGTGAAATCAAAATATTTTTGATACCTGACTCTTTTGAATGATTTCTTTATACAGATCACTTGGGCCAAATTTGAATATTTGACTCTACTGTAATTTCAAACATTACTAAATTCTTTGCCTATCTCCTAATGTGAGTAGGGTTAACCTACTGAAAAGGGCTCTGAAAATGTTGCCAACCCACAAAATCATAGTCCCTAGTTTATCTGTGAAATACGGAGCTAAAAAAATATGTCCTTTCGTCAAAATCAGTAGATTCATATAGTTGTAAAAATATTATGTGATTAAAACTTGTCTAAAGAATTGTTGTAAGAAGGAAAAAAACTTGTCCTAGATCTAATGAAATGTTGGATTTGTTTCAGTTTACCCGGAGGTGGACGATATTCCTCATGCAATGTATGTGTGCAACTTGTTTGGGCAAGCAGGCACTGTTGTGTGGGAACCGACACAGGCTAAAACACCTGAAAATATGGAGAGTAAGTGGTATACAATATCTCAACGCAGTATATTTCAATGTTTAGGACAAGGGCTCAATTCGGTGGGGATCTCTCCCCAAATTATTTCAAAAGAAATTCCATGCAGTTCATACTCATGAACATATTGACTCTACAAATTGTTTAAGTGATTGTTGTGTTAAGCTTTACAATTTGACGCTTGCAAGACGAAGAGTGTAAGTACATATAATATAATTTGTACTTACATTCTTTGGCTTGCAAGTGACAAGTTATTAAAATGGGAGAGGAAATTAGAGGATGGTGAGGAAGTGTTATAGCTCTGAGTAGTTTTTAGTTGTTGGTATCAAGCACTCCTTTCAAGCATACATATAATATTACAGTTTTAGCCAACCACCAGAGAAAACATCCCAGTCTCAGGAATCCTGAACTTTGCATTCACACTCCATTTGTATGTATTGGGGCCCATCATTTAAAATAAGAACCTTTTTTCGCAAAGAACATTTTCAAGTTTTCAGTAATCCAATTTTGAACGAGTACTTCCAAAAATACATTACCTCTAGCTTATACACAAACTAAAATTTGTTTGGCCTTGTCAACAATTTTCTCCACCTCAGCCTTTCTTTATCTTCTACTTCTATATTCCTCATATTCCTCTCAACATTCTCAATCACTGTCTTGGTGCCGAACGTTCTAATCCTGCTGGGAGTCCTCCAATAATTATTCTTTTCAATAATGACTTCTCCTCTCTTGCATTGTCACACTCTGTCAACATAATCTATTGTTTTTTTTTTCATAAACATCTGCTTCCTTAAACTCTTACTTCCTGTTTTGTCCTTATTATTCAATCGCCCTTATTCCTTTGCTCATATCAAGGGGCGATACCTACTGTTTTATTTTCAAAGTTATCAAGCGCTTCTCGCAAAGACACAAATAATGACTTAAAACATCAACAATGCTAAAACTTTTCTAGGTGTCATGAATGTGTACCACTACTGGGATTCCTACCACGACAGACCCATCACTCGACTGTCTAAGCATCCATTCATTCCTTCAGTGTGCCTGACAGTCGGAGGACATGTGTTTGCCATCTGGCATATCGAGAATAAGGTAAGTGCCTAGTTTAAGATTGATACTTTGCATGTCAGCTAGCTTATAGCATTTTTGCCAGATGAAAGATTTGCCGTGAACATTTGTGATAGGTTTTTATTTGTCTATGTATGAATTTGGATGGTGTTTTTGACCTCTGGGGCCATAAAAATGAAAAAAATCAGGATCTAGGTCTTACCATAAGACACCTACAATAATATAGCATTGTTCCACAGTCATTCAAGAATGTCATCATTGACTTGATCAATGTATTAAGTGATTAGTTAAACGACCCCAAATTTAAAAATAAGGTTGGTGAAACAGTGTGTAAAAAATTATGTGACAGCTCCCAACATGTGTTCTTTATTCTGTACTGCTGGCCATTCAAGGGTTCAATGGTGCTTTATTTGGCAGTACACTAGCCATCCAAACAGAGACACAAAATTTATCCAAACTACTCTGCCAAAGAACGTTTCAAGTGTATATCACTTCAAATAATAGCTCAGTACAGCAGTTTCAAATATTACTACATTAATTAATTGACAATCGTTTCCAGGAAGAACCGATATTGGTGAAGCGATATTATGACGTTTACATCACAGACGGATCATGGTCATCACTCAGACCATCCCTGATGAGGATCGCGCGGAGTGACGGAGTTGTAGAGATTTGGGACTTGATCATACAGAATCACGCTCCTGCGACCACCATCGTAGTCTCTGGCCGGGTGATCACAAGTATGTGGTAATCGGAGTTAGTCTCCTTCTTACACTGTCTTAATTTTTAATTAATTTTTGAGCTTTTATTATTACAGAATTAGACTTCTAATTCTAATTTTGATGATAGGAGTTCATGGTAAAAGTACATTGTTGAAAATTGGTCTTCTGGATATGACCATGTTCTTGAATCGCTGATAATGAATGTTTGTCTTTTGAATGTCTGTAATATTAGCTTATTAATCTAGTCTTGACTGGGTTACTGTGTAACCTTTAGTTACCATAATATGTTTTAGGCTGGGTAGGTGTGTTGTTTAAGTGCTCGCCTAGTAATCAAAAGGTCGCCGGTTTGATCCTGAGAAAAGTCAGTAGCTTTTGATGGTTCAAAACTGGACCCAGCTGTTCCTGATCATTGGGCTTTAAATAAATGATCCTGACTAATGAAACTGTTGATCTTAGTCAGTAACAAAGCTACACAGGTCATCACACACCATTCTACACTCATCCTTCACACATATTTGGGTTAAAATACACACCTAGGTGGCGTCCCCATCTCAATGATTGATAATTGATATTGAACTATTGCATGATTGTTATGCCAAATGACAATAAAGGATTTGATTAGATGATCTCCTTAAGAAAAGGATTCAATGAATGAGATGAATTCCCATGTTTAAGTTGAAGCAATAAAAGAGAAATTAGTTGGATGTTAGTTTGGGATTTTTGATAGGATAGCAGGCTTCCCCACACAAATATCATAGTACTTTTCACTATAGACCCTGTTACTGACAGCGTTTTCAACCCAGGAAAGTTAATGTTAGGATATTTTATTTTGTTGATGTATGTCTAAAAACTCTCAGAGCTTAGTTGATTTTAATCCTGAGTTTTTCTCAAGGGTTGATTTAAATTAGTAAACATTGCTTTATGGGTTTGATAACAGTTACTGTAAATGATCAACTTAAATATGTTTATGTGGCAGACATTTCACCACCCCTACTGCCTGAAGTAAGAGGTCTGCTAGGAGTGGCTGACTATAACTCTGCTTTCTGTCTCTTCTACATCCCTCAACAGTTCAGAATGTGGACAGAAAATGAGGTAAGTTTTCAGTCAAGTATGAGGATTCCTTTTGTATAATAGTTTGTCAGTGAAGAAGTCAGTGTGGTATTGTTGACTTTGGATACTGATAGTACACTTCTTATTCCATTGTAAAACATATAATGAAATATTATATGTTTAAACTTTTCTTGTAAGTTAACAGAAGGAAAATACAGGGTCAAGGGGATGTCTCGCTAGTTGTTGTGAAAATACAGTAGTTGTCTCGCTTATGTTGTGTAAAAAAATACCAAACAAGATAGGTGCAACATCCAGAAATTTTAACGGAGTCAGATCCAGAAACAGTCTATGGTGTTGATTAAACTTTAGGGCCGAAACTCAGACAATAATGGTTAAGGTTTTTGTTTTTGCTTACGTTACTAATTAAGTCTTGTAGGTACCAACTTGGAATAAAGAGCTAGGTAACGCTTTTCAACAACAGAACCAATATCTCCACAAATAACTGTTTACCTGCTATTAGATTTTAATGAACTGGTACGTAAATAAATTTAATTACATTTACGGTTGGTAAATCGTCCATATTTATGGCTTTACAACAGATAACAAAACGACCAACATATGCTTTCTATAGCTCGATAGACTCACAAAATTCATCAGCCGTGAACCCGAGAGGAGAGAGAAAATGAAGGAATGGTCAAAGTGGTGGAGGGAAAACAACGTGAACTTGGATCGAGAAGAGAGAAAACAGGCTGAGGAGCAAAAGAAACTTGACGAAGAAGTGAGACTTGAAAAGGAGAAACAGGAAGAGGCTAGAAAGAAATACAATGAAGAAGTCTACAAGTAAGTCAACAAACGGACACTAAACAAAGATTTTTGATATGTTTCAAGTTTATTTTAAAGTTAAAATAAATATATGTTGTTTAGTTGTTGCTGGTAAACAAGCATACAATACTACAATAGTATACTCCATTCACAATATTAGGTGGTTGGAGGGGAAGTGATTCCATCCCCTCCACCTCTCCTAACTTTGAAACAACAGCTGACAGCTGATTAATGCATTGCTAAAAAAAAGTGGTGTGGGAACCCAGGAAACCTTCCCCTTAAGCCGCTTAATTTTTGTGAACGGAAATGTATGTAAGGAACTCCACCAACGGAATACTAGTTCAAAGTTCAACCATCATCATGATTTTTTCATCAAGGTATCAAATCCAAATCCAATTGCAGACAAAAAAAAAACTATAGATGACTTTTTTGCACTCCGTACTGAAAATTCTCATACTTAGAATAATCTTTCGAAACTTTTCATATGTTTGTAGGTGGTATATGAGGAGAAGAGGAAAAGCGTTCATGAGAGTTGAAGAGGCCGATGACAAATGGAGAGAGAAACAAGAAGAACATATGCATGAGGTTTGTAAACTAATTACATAGCTAGCTGTACAACACAACATTCTTATTTGCATTTAAAGTGCTGTCACCTTTAAAGTCCCTAACAAGCTTTAATTGCGAAGCAGTAGACATGAACAAAAGAAGGAATAAGATGTTGACACACTTGCCTAGCATAATTCCTATGTTTAGACTTTACTGGTACATGGGGTCACTACCATCAAAAGTCATTGCTAGTTGATTGATGTGTATGAAGACAAAGTTTGATGGTTCAAAATGTTCAGAACGGGTGGAGGGAGTTTTGGTGAAGGTTGTATACTCCGTTGTACTCGTATGCTTCTGAATTTTAATAGTTTTAAGTTAGTGAAATTAGGGAAATTTTAAACTTGCAATCTTCTGAAAATGGATATGCTTTCAACCTATAAAAGTTACACAGCTACTATTTTTCTAAGAAATAAAAACCAATTTTACATCTAATTTGAAAAAAAAATTAACTTTCTAATGTTTCAGATGGTAATGGCCAAAAAGAAGATCGACCGAGCTGAAATGGAGCTTCTTATGAGACCTATTGTTCGAGAGGAGAAGAACGAAGCTCTGAAACACGCGAAGGCTCAAGAGAGGCTTAAGCAGGCTGACACAATATTTAAACAAACCGTTGAACTTATCTTTCCTAAGGCTTCCAAGGTAATAGAGGTTTGAAATAGATGGTTGAGTGTCAAATACTATTGTGATGTTGTAATGAAGTAGTTTTGTTGACAATTTACTATGAAAATTATTTTTCTCCAATGATAATGTCTGATGTTGAAAATTATCTGATCCTGTTCAGTATTCAAAGGCAATGCAATAACGAAGCTAAACAAAGTTAGAACGTCTTACTCATAATTTATTCACGTTTGTTCAAAGACATCAAATCTATTGCTCCATTTTCCTAATTAGTTAAAAGAATTTTAAATTACAAATACTACATTGTAAAGTTGGTGAGTTGGTGAAGAGGACGGTAGAATGACGGACTATAAATTCATGGGAGTTGTTAGAATTAGCTTTTGGTTTTTTTTACCGGTCATTCTTGTATTTGCCCACCTTTTGCTTTCCCTGATACTTTCAAAGTGCTGTGTCAAAGGCCCATGCGGAGCAGGGTTTAAAAAATCCTATTGACCACATTAAAAAGTTTTCTAATTTTACTTTTGCTTAAAAATTTATCAATTATATACAGGTTACTTACTGCCGTGACTTGTACCCAAGCTGGTCCTCGGCCTAGCAAACACGTCGCAAGTTCTCTCGGTCCTCCGAATCATCCTCTACTAGTTCTCATATTTTCAATATCTTTCTGGACTTGATCCTACCACCTGTCTTTTGGTCTTCCTACTGGTCTCCTTCCCCTCGGATCCCGCCTTCGTACCTTCTTCAACAAGCTCTCCTCATTTCTCCTTAAAATATGGCCAACTCACCTTAGCCTTCTGCTTTTGGCCTCTCCTACAATATCAGGGTCTCGGAATGATTCTCTTAACTCTTGGTTGTGGCGGATTCTCCATTCTCCATCTTATACAGGGTGTTGAAAATGTCTGGAACCAACATTATATCTCGTGAGTGGTTAAAGAAAAACAAATGATATTTTGTGTACGGATATACCATGGTTTTACCTATCTTTTAGTGCCTTATGAAAATTTTTACCACTTATAGGGAACGTCCTGTGGAGGATGCAGTAAAAAGTTTTAATGGAAGCCTATGGTAAATGATACATCATTTTAAAGGCCATTTTTTTCTGAGTAAGGAGCCACAAGTTTCATCTCAAAAGGACCACCCTAGCAAAAATGGCGACTGTTTGAAATTTAAAAAACCACTTATAGGGAACGGAATTTTTAAATTTCAAACAGTCGCCATTTTCGCTAGGGTGGTCCTTTTGAGATGAAACTTGCGGCTCCTTACTCAGAAAAAAATGGCCTTTAAAATGATGTATCATTTACCATAGGCTTCAATTAAAACTTTTTACTGCATCCTCCACAGAACGTTCCCTATAAGTGGTTATTTAAATTTCAATCAGTCGTCATTTTTGCTAGGGTGGTCCTTTTGAGATGAAACTTGTGGCTCCTTACTCAGAAAAAAATGGCCTTTAAAATGATGTATCATTTACCATAGGCTTCCATTAAAACTTTTTACTGCATCCTCCACAGGACGTTCCCTATAAGTGGTAAAAATTTTCATAAGGCACCAAAAGATAGGTAAAACCATAGTATATCCGTACACAAAATATCATTTGTTTTTCTTTAACCACTCACCAGATATAATGTTGGTTCCAGACATTTTCAACACCCTGTATAGCTTAATATAGCTCTTAGAACTTTATTCTCACAGGTTATAATCTTCTTTTCCGTGTTTTTGCTCAGGTTCCAAGTTTCCCCTCCATATAAAAGTACTGGTCTAATTATTGTTTCGTCAGTTCTAATTTTATTTACAGGTTATCGAAGTTAAATCTGAAGAACAAGATACGCTTAGTGATCAGGTGTCGAAACTTGTGGATTACTATTTTGGGGACAATTTTGATCAGCTAGCGGCAGAACAAGCGGAATTCGTAGAAAGAAGCCCTTGGCAGTTTGAGTTTGAATGGTCGGAACTGCTGGAGAAGTACAACGCATTGAGGATGCTCTTTAACGATAGACGTCGTAAAAGAAGTAAAACTTTGAGGTATGAAATCGTTTTTGAAGTAATAGGGTAATAAAGTTAGAGAATATAATCTTATTACATTTTATTATAGGAAAACAGAAAGGAAATGTTTCAATAAGTGATTTAAACATGAATAAAAAATGTAGACAACTCAAACAGCTTACAGAGATTGTCACAGACCATGGTTGCCTCTGGAAAGAACTACCGAAATTTAAAATCTGTTATCTTACTAATATTATAAATGTAAAAGTTTGTGTGTTTGTTTGTTTGTTTGTTTGAAGTTCAATCACGCATAAACCACTGGACAAATTGGGCTGAAATTTGGCATGATGATAGCTTACATTCCCGATTAACATATAGGCATATTCTTATTTCAAAAATCCTTTCGGGCTCCACCCCAGTGGCTCTGTAATTCCCCATGTTAACCTTATGAGTATTCATATTTAAAGGGAATTAAAGAATTTAGTCAGCTGTTTCAACTAAAAAAGTTGGTTCTATGATATGGAAAAGCATTAAAAAGTTATAAGATTTACCAACAGGGTGCAGCACTATATTTTTTTTGCATTTATGAAAACAGCTAATTTGAACTAAGCAGCAACAAAAAACTGTGATTCGCAATGAGAACTGTCAAAGTAAGATTGTTTACAGTTATGTATATGTTTTTCATTTCATGAATAATTTGTGATATTTTGCGAATTGATAATTTATTTTTCTCTATTGTTTAGGTAAAATGGTAGAACATTATGGCTATGGTAGATGTGTAATACTATAGAATACTGTAAATTTAAAAAAGCAAATTTTATCAAACTGTGTCCTCCACCCATTGCAATCGCAAAGCTTGAGTATAACTGCAATAAGCATTTTATACTTATATTCCAACCCCGTACGAAGGACGGGTACTCTGCTAGTGTAATGATAAAAATAGTATATAGAAAGTTAGGGCAGTCTGATGAGGCTAAAGACCATCTTTTTGGCTGCACAGAGTTAAAAGAGGTAAGGGAAAGTAACCTTAATTGTTTATGAGAAAATGAGGTTTTGGAGGATTATGAATAGGCTATACAATATGTTCACTTAAAAGAACACTGGTAATTCATTTATAACGTGGCATATTGAGGTAATAGAATCTACTCCATGACTGACTCCATGAACAGAGCGAAAAAATACTAATGCACAAACTCATTTTTTCAGATGGTTGAGGAAAAAGCTTAGAGAAGAACTGTTGAAAGAAGGAAGGAAAGTTCACGTCAGAAAAAGCCACATGGCTCGATATCCCAAGAGGAAAATCAGAAGGAGACAAGAAAACTTGGCGTGGCTGCAACATACTTACGGGGACGACTATAACATCTACTGGGACAAACACATACCCTGTAGAAGATTTATGGATCGCAAGTTCCGGTTGGCTTCGGTGGACGACATCGATGGTTCATTCTTGGGAGAACTTTCAGAGCCTGACGTTGAGGATGAAGAGTTGCCTCAAATCTTTGAGGAAGGCAAGGTCTTGAGCAGTTTAGAAATGATAACTGAAATCGGCATTGAAAATATTCCAGAAGAAACTTTTGCTGCGGATTTGGACACCGCTTTGTTGACTTTGGAGAGCCGATCTTCGTTGGGAGTGAAGACTATACCTTCGCTGCTTTCAAAATCTAGAAAATCACAAGAATCGTTAGGAGCTGAGATGTCTTCGGCTGTGACTGCTGAAAAAGATGCTGAACACCTAACAGTACCTGGCATGCAGTCACCGCAAGAAGATTCTGATTTCAGTGGAGAATTTGAAGATCTTGATGAAACCTCTTCACTTGTCGATAATCTACAGCAAGAGTTAGACTACATACGACAGCCGAAGAAGACAAACACGGTCAAGGAAAAGAGAACGTACACTACTCAAAAACAAGGCGTTTCTCAGGGAGTGAAAGTCAGGTTCGAGGAATCTTCTTCAGAAGATTTGCTTGCTGACTCAGTTGACGGTGACAGTGAAGTTGAAAGGATAGTAAGTGCAGCAGAGGTTATGGTTGAAGAGGAAGAGAAAGATCAAGTGGAAGATGACGATAATGAAGAGTTGAGTACAGACATTGAAAAACCTGATGAAGAGATTTGAAGTTAAACTGTGTGGCAATGAAGGTGGAGAGTAATAATATAGTTTGCACTTATTTTGTTAATGATTAGTTTTGTTTGTTTTTTCAATAAAACCCATTATGAATAAGTATAAATGTAACTAAATTATGACTCAATAATGTTAGAACGTTTCAAGTTTATTATTGCAATAATTTGCGTAGGTTAGCGTTTAACTTAAAAACTATTTTAAATTTTGTATGTACATCACATCACCTTTCTTTATTCTTTAAATGCTGCATTCTTTTTTTAACTATTTGCAACAAAATCCAAACACTTGTTAACTGTACAATGATAACTATAACATTTTACTCCATACCATTTAACTCCATTTGAAACTATCTTTTTGTGTGAAGGATAAAAGAAAAGAACACACTGATTAAATTAAAAATAATGTTTATTCAGATATAACTTAAAACTTAAATCACAGTTAAGCAAAAAGCTTATAAATAAATCAATCATAGATCACAGAAAACCAGACTTATGCCTTATGTTTACAGCAATATAAACATAAACTACAGGAACTCAAAACAGACAGAAATGCTTGAAGATATAGCGAAAACTGTACAATACGGCTTACATATTATATTTGGCAAACATAGGTTACAAGACCAAATATTTTTTTTTTAAAGTTGATCACATTTTACAATACCGGTAATATAAAAGAAAAATTTGTCAATGCAATGTTTCTACAACCTTTGATGTTATTTAAGACTAGTTGCCTTAAATATTGTTTATCCATCGTAATTAGTGGAAAACCAATTTTGTTAACAAAAAGTCATTTTTCATAAAATCTATGAACATAACGTTAACTAAAATCTATACTAAACCTGGAAATAATATAAAAAGAAAAGAAAAATATGGTTTATTTAAATTAACAACCATTCAATTTGTTCCAACCGTTCGATGACTTGAGAACTTGAGAAGATGAAATAATATATACATTGAGTAAGCTATGGTCAAGATTATAAAGTATTTTGGTATTTTTAGTTGAGAAACGGCTAACGCCAAATCTTATTGAAAGTCAGAATGTTTTAAGGGTGCAATAACGGCTCGTCAGCTGGGTCGTTGAAGTTGCTTGTAATACGATTCCACGGTTCGTCTCGCCCTGCGCCCTTGCGGCACACAAAGTCACAACCATCCTGCAAACATCACGCTCAAAAAAATTGTGTCCGACATTCTTCCTTAATATAACCTAGAAGGCACTCTAGAAACATTTTTTACAACAGGATTTTGAAAATAAAACTAATAACTAATACGTAAACCATAAAAGTAGGAATCAATAGAAGACCTAGCAAGATTCTAGTTTACTTTACAATCACTTAATAACCTTTGAAATCTTCTACAGATATTATTCTTTGTGGTAGTAACCACTACAGTATCCAAAGTCTTCTCTTCATTGGTTATTTCACTGACGAAAATTTACCGAGCACGATTCGAACGATGTAATTGTATACTACCGGGACTACTTTTCTTCTGATTTTATACACAAATAAAAAAAAAACACACTACAAAATTAACACTGGATCTTCTGTGAACAGAATCAGGAATAACTGCTAGTCAAATAGAGGTAACTTTATCAGCCCTCAATTTAAAAACAGGTTGGTAAAATCAACCTATCCTAGACTTTTGTTCCCATCCTTATCGCAGTAACCAAAAAGTATGGACCTTTAGGTTAACTAACCTAAGCCTGGTCCTGTTAAAAGTCAGAGAGGATGTACTGTATCCGAACCAAACATAAAACACATCATAAAAAACAACATAATTAAAAGGATACTTGTATCCAAAGTCATAAATTTTACTAACCGCTTGTAAGTTGCCCAAGTTGCGCCAGAAGTGATAGTTGGGTATCTGCTCAAGTCCTTGTGCTCCAGTCATGATGCGCCGATATGCGACCCCGATAATCAGGTACATCATTGCGCCAGTGAGCAGCCTGCGCAACACGTAGCAGTTACATAAACAATTAGCAAGCAATAACAACCAGATTTCTTATAAACACTTATATGGATGATCAATCTTTTGAACATTGTTCTAATAAATTAACAACTCAAACTCACATAATGTTTCATAAAAGCTGGTTTCGTGAACGGTAGACATCCTGCATTGGTTCATAACTTAAAAATTAATTTACACAATGTTTAATTGACATTGGAACAAGCAGTGCTGCTTCATAGGGGTTGTAAAATAATTTCCGATCTGCATTTTTAGAGATTGATTGTTAAAAAGTACTTTAACCTTCTGCAAAAAATTTCTACTAGCTTAATACAGTGAGAAGGATACAGAAAATCAAAATACTAGAGTAAAAACTTAATTAATAATATTTATGAAAAGTATATCTTGATAAATACAACTTTTAAAAGTTTCTATTCAGGTTTTTCCATAAACTCACCCCATACAAACAAAATGTGTAGTTTTACTCAATAATATAAACAAACGTTTGCAAGTAGGATAACAAATAATTAACAAAACTTACAAAACACAGAAGACAGAACCTCCACTCAGTCCTTTAGGATTGTTAGGGCAAACTACGGAGGTCCTTAGGCTGAAAGTTACTTGACAATCTCCCTCTATGTCGTCATCCTCCAGTAAGAACAAAGTCTGCAAACAACATCCACACAAACGTCAAAGAATAATAACCGTAAAGGTTAGTTAGATGAAAAATATACTGTATGAATAACGGTTTTATACTGTTAAACGGTTCAAAATGTGAAAATGAAGTACAAATAGTAGGAGATAATAGAAGAGAATCAAAAGCTGATAGGTTTCTTTGAAGTAGATTACAATCCCCTGGTGCAATGTTCCCTGTCTATTTTTTCTGGCGTGACCAATTCACAAGACAAAACTATTTTGCATATTAGTCACGTGGAAGCAATGGATAGAATATCTAACCTGTCGGGACCGTCCCTACAGAATCGGGACGGTTGGCAACACTGCCAAGTACAAACGCAGTAGCCCCTTCTTATCACTAGTGGTAAACGTACCATCAATGATCTAGTGATTTGTACTCCATCATCTATGTATTCTGTTTTTTCTTGAATGGCAAAAACAGGCTCTTAAGAAATATAGAAAATACATAGATAACCGTTACACACAACAGACTCTAAGCCCATTTAAAACAAATAATGTCAATCCAGTTATAATTCACCTCTTAAATATTGCCAGATAAGTAAAAGAGTTTCACTATTTCATGTAGGCCATACAATTATTTTTAGTCTTCCATTTCTTAAAAATATTATATACTAAATACGGTTCTATTAGCATTAATCATGACTGTACATTTCCCTGCAAAATTTTCTCACCCTTTGCTTTGCTTCAATTCAATTTAATACAATTTATTCATCACATAAATTATAATCCTCAATTCAATCCTCACATCCTCAATACAACTTTTTATCAAAAATTTAGATGAGGACGCCACCTAGGTGCGTATTTTAACCCTATGAGTGAAGGATGAATGTATAATGATGTGAACATTCACACATAAAAGCATAGGTCTGAAGCCAATGTTTACCAGGTAAAAGAGCAATATTTTTGCTGCGGAATAAAATAAAAAAAATCTATAAGAACGTCATAGCAAACTTCTCTGAGTCATTTATCAGATTAGAATAGTAACTTGTGACAATATTCCATAATTACACTTGTAAAGAACATGATTCAATGCGTCATTTGCTTGATGACTAATTTATTGATTCTTATCAACATGGTGTAAACTAGGATTTACGCGAGAATGGGTAAATTATTATAATTCTTCTGCCAAAACGTTAATAGAACAAACATTTTCTAAATGACGGTATCAGCAAACTGACACATACTTTCTCCCATTAGCTTGTCTAAAACCCTTATAGTGGTGGTGAGAGTAACTATGATATTTGATAGGTAAAATAAAAAATTGTAGAACCTTAACTTTTACAGCATTGGGGTTGGTTGTAATTTCTTTAGAGTTAAAGGGACGATAACATACTAAATAAAGGACCACAAGTTAAAACAAAAAAAAAAAATATTTTTGTTGGTAAAAAAATCATCTAACTCTAATGATAGGGATTTTAATATAACTCTTGGTAAAATTAGCTGATAAAATGGTTCTTTTGAAACGAGTATTGGATTATTTTTCATTACGATGTCAAAAAACTTGTAAACTACATGAATATTTTTGTTTATTCAACTTAGTATCAAGAAAAAAATCCTTAACTTATAACGCTGAGCTTATGTCGAGGTACATATGCACGGAAACTCACATTATGCAACAGCTGATCAGTCTGCATTGCAAAATCCCAAAACGATTACTTTCCGTGCACCACAAGTACATAGAAAGTTAACGTTATGTAGCTTTGCCGTGCAGTAGCGGAAATAACATATTTTCTTAGCTCATTTTACGTTTAGAAAGTGTACTTTTGTGTGTAGAACGTAGATGTAATGAAAAAATAAACCTTCAAAATTTGACAATAGAATGATAAACCCTCTGGCAACATCCAAAACCAATTATTAAACCTTTATTCATCACACAATCTGAAAATTTCCATAAATGAATATAATCAAGCATTATTAAAATGCAAATCTTCAAACAACAGCTACTAACTAAATGCAACCGTTATCAGACACAACTCCATGTTAAACACAAGAGATTACGTCAATGATGACATTACGTAATTTGAGAATGATTTAAGCAATCTAGTCATCTGATACTGATTTCACAAGACACATTTCCAGTGTCCATTATGTCTTCGTTGAACCGAGTGCTTTTAATTTTAAGCGTAACTGTTATATTGCGAGAAGCAAGTTCAAATTCTCCGTTTGACTTCTTCAGAGACCTCAAGAACAGGATATTTTCTTCAGGAAACTCAACAGAATCGATTGAAGAACCTGCTCAGTGTTCTGGGTCCAGCCAGGTAAATATTTATTTGTATTTGTATTTTGTTGTTTGTTTATAGTCAAAGCTTTTGGATGTACAAAACTAAATGATGGCTACAAAAATATTGAACAAAAGGCTATTTAATTTTCTTGCACTTTTGACAATTGATATTTTCAAGTGTACTTTTTTTAATGATCAGGATAACCAATTCATTATCAATCTTTTATGTCAAAATAGAAGCAATTTCTGCTTACAATTAGTAATTATTAAAGTGCGATCAAGCCACAATAATGACACATTTATTGAATCAGAGAATAACATTTTGTTTTGTGTCGTGAGGAAATCAATACAATCATTACAATTCATCATTAAAGTTATTTTTATCTTGTAAAATATTCCTTTATAAAAAAAAATAGTGAATTTTATTTTATTTAGTAATTCAATTTGTCATATTTCAGGATGGAGTCTGCACCAGTAAAACTTTATATAATAGTTCTCTGGATGAAACTGACAACGTAAGAAGTCAAGAAATGTTTGACAACTCTGATCTAAATGGTACACTAAACATGGACTCTGAGATTTCAGAATTCAACCAGAAGTTCGGGAACGAAACTTTTAACGTAGAAACAAACAACACTGCCTACTATGACGAACCGGATTGGAATAGTACAGCAACAATCAACACTGAAAATCAGGGTGATTTCGAATATCAAGAAATTGATCAGAACACAACTACTTCCAACACAGAAAATCTTTTGACAAATGAAGAAAATAAATCAGATGACGTACGATCGAAACGTCAAACAAAAAACGTAGAAATAAACATCATGTTGAAAACAGGAATAAACCGTCAGCATCGCGTGCAACTGTGTTTACAGCTAAATCAGAGAATTCGTCTGATTTAAAAATGAATGTTACTTTATTGCCAGACGAAGTTAAAGAAGTTCTTTCAAATGACACAGGAAGTAATCAAACTGGTTTTAGTGATTCCAAAAATGATTTGAATATCACAGGTTTTGTTGATAATAGAAACGAAACAGTTAAAGTAGAAGAATCCACTAGTGATGAAAGAAATGAAAACACTACAATTTACAAACAGGAATTATCTGAACAAACGAATGCTAAATTGGATTTAGAAGATTTAATTTCAAAATTGAACTCTAGTGCTCTTTCGGCAATACAAAATAAAACTGAAGAAACTTTTGTGGAACAGTCAATTGCAACTAATTGTTCAGTTTGCATGGCTATTGAACAAAAATACTTTCCAAATGCCACAAATGAACTAGGCCTAAATGAAACTGAACAAGCAAATAGCACAGAGAACTCTACCGCAATCAACAACGAATATATTAATGACCAAACCAATGTGACCAATCTAGCAAATATTCTCGTCAATTCAACTCGCTTGATTGAAAATATGGCCGAAACATTAATTCCAGCATCGATGTTGAGCAAATTGGACAACTACACAGAAAATTTACTTAATTTACTTTCAAATCAAACCGATAAATTGGAGAACATTACAATAAACACAACGGAATTAGAAAATAATTTTAAAAACCTCTACAATATCACTATGAATATGACAAATATAATGGGTGAAGATCCGAACATATTGGCAAGTATTTTAAATCAAAACGTAAACGGTAGCAACATCTTCCAATCTCAAGGCCAGATTTTAAACGTATCCCAGACAAACGTAGCGGACAACTTGCAAATTAAAAGAGAAAAGAGAAGCATAAACTTTACAATTCTTTCCAACGATGATGACGATTCCTCATTCTCAACCTTCCCTGAAGTAACTGAGTTATCAGTAATAGAGACTGTTAATTCTACTGAGTCGATTCTGCCGGACAACGACCAAACCATCGAAGTAGTAGGTCCAGTCTGCCTGAGTCGTTATGAAAAGGTAAGATACAAGTTCAGTGTTAATAGTTATTTAGCAACAATATAATTGTTTTTTTTTTATTTGCATAACCATAACCAACAGCAACAGCAAAAGCCTATTAAAAAAGGAATATCACCATTTTGATAAAAATACTAAATAGGCTACTAAAATGAGTGAAAATAGCGATTATTTTGAATTGTACAACTACAAAGTTATCTCAGTGCTGAAAGAAAACATTGCTTTAACTGTTAATTAATCAAAGATGAAATAGTTGAATGCAACTCTTGCAGACTGTGCTACTGTTGAAATTTTATTTTTCTCTTTTAATTTTCACTATAATTGTTGGTCAAGACATTAAAGATGCTATCGTTTACGATTGGAAGCAATTTCAGTTACATTGGTTTTTGTTCTAGTCTATACTTTTACACCCCATGGCAGTGAGAGGCTCGTCCCAAAATGTCAAGGAAAAATACATAGACTATTTCATTTATGCACTTTGTTGGTAACCTAATAATGTAATTTTTCTTTTTCATTCTAAACGGCAAGTCAATCTACTTCTCCTACGATCAAACTACAATTAAGCAACCATAGGGTATGAATCACATAGGCAAGCTATGCGATAGTGATAAAATAATCAGGCAATGTTTGGCTAATCTACAAGACATGACTTTTCAGCTACAGTGTCAAATGGTTTAAATTTTTGTAATTTTTCAGTGCTTACACAGTTCAGACTGCTGTGAACCTTACGATTGTATTAGTAGGGAAGGGCCTAACTCTACGTAAGTAAATTTACAATAAAAACAATAGCCTACTTAAAATGTTCTGTTTGGATTTAAAGTATTGAAAAAATGCTTTTGTATTTTATTCACAACTATTAATGTCATTTTAAATTATTATGTTAATTTTTAATTTTTGTGTGTTCGAGTTTTTCCCTAAAGTGTTTGAAATGTTCTTGAAGTGTGTCAATGTTCATGAAGTCATTCAAACTAATTCTAGTATAGGCCTATGTAAATAATATTATCCAAAGCAACCCGATTTTAACCCTACCCTAGACCCGAAGTAAACTTGTCTGCCCTGTAGACCACTACTAGTACAATTAATTGAAAAACAATATATTTAATTATTTTTTAGCTAGTCTCCTAGCCTCCAAGGTCTATTTGCTGTGCAGATTGTCAAAAATCAAGGGTCAAGTTCGAGTTGAATCAAAACCTCGTTCACGTTCCAGCCACCAAGGTATCAGATTAGAACTCTCTGGTGTGAGCTGCCGGGAGCCTCATACATTCTTAATATGGTCTTAAAATGTTATTATTATAATTGAAAAAAAGCAATCTCTATCTTTGTTACAGATTCCACTGTGATCAACCCGCTAGATAATATTTCATTATAAACAACAAATCAGTTAGCAGGTAAGCTTTTAACGTTTTGTAAAGATGGAAAATCTATAAATTAGTATCCTGAATACAAAGTACTTAGTATAGCCTTGCAGTGATCCCAGAAAGGTAAAAATAGACATTCTAGGTGTACATTCTACCAAAACCACCGAGGATTGTTGATTGTAAAATCTGTACTCTTTACATCCCTGTACATGTATTCGCTTTTGTTTTTGGTTACCTTCCACAAAATTCCCTGGCTATATACTAAAGATGGACAGGTTCCAAAAATTCGGGAAAATATATATTCTTAATCTACCTGCAGGATTACATTTAATCCCTGATTTTCTTGGAATTGGCTTAATTCGAACTGTCATTGATTTCACTGTAATCACTAGTGACAATGAAAGCGTATTCATGATCTTGGATGACGTTTACGATTTTGTAGGAAAAAATGGTCTCCATGATTGCGGGGGATCTTAAGGCATTTGCCGTGATCTTCAGAGATATACAAGATTTCTCTGCAATGGTGGATGATGATCGTTGTTCTTGTGATCATCATAATAATGATACTGCCACCACGATCATGGATTACAGTAATGATATAAAAAATTAGTGAAATGAAGATTAAAATCAATTCAGTTGGTCATTATTACAATTTTCAAGAATTTGCATGGTAATAGGACAAAACTTTTTCTTCCACGCAACAAGGAACTCTTGAATTTGCTGTAAAAGTCTTTAGTATGAGCTCTTTATTGCAAGGGAAGAAAAATCCCACCCTGAATATCAGGAAGGAAATAAAATCCTGTCCCGTTCGAAACTAAAAAACAAATTTACATTTTTTACTGTTAGTTTTTAGATTTTAACAAATTGACACAAGCCACTTGATAAAAAATAAGTATTGCTAACAGGTACCACAAGCTAAGTAATGGTAATAATTTCAAAACATCGATAAAAAAAAATTGTTACGTAGGAATTGATGGGTTATGTAAGTTTATGTTTGTTTCAGATAGTTGTCAAGAGGGGGAAGATGTTGACAAGTTGTATAAACGCCATTTGATAGCCTTTACGCTTATAAAAGTTTAGATCACATTATTGATAAGTTGTGTACTTTTGTAAATAGCTTTGTGTATGTTTGTAAATAAATTCAGATGTGTGTAAAATTAACTAAATCTTCTAACATTCCTATAACAGTTATCCATTAAACTATGATTATTTACAGTTTAAAGTTAAACATCAACTGTCTAGCTATTTCTAGCTATTTGTATTCAAATTGTGACTTATATGTGGGCTATCATTTTTTAAAGCTATTCAAGATTTAAAATATCTTTAAATGTTCCACAAACGTATTGTTAACAACTCAGTAGGCCTATGTGAACGTTTCTTTTTTGTAATCTATTTTAAGGCTTTTAAAGCTTTAATAAAAGTTTTCAAATAAGTTACAGAAAAATGCAAATTTAGCCCACAAGCAGCGGTTTTTGTACCATAATGTGGACATCGGGCGAATCAATTGGAATAGATAAATATTGCAACAACCAAATCCAACCAGTAAGTTCATCACTTCAGTCTTAAGTCTGGTAAATTATTGGTCTATCACAAACCATGAAATTATGTGTTTAAATCATTGTTGTTGCTGCTGCTTTCCTCACCTTGCAGATCTACCAAAATAATCAATATCTGTTTCTTCCCAGCATTTCCTTGTATTTGGCAGCACTTAGTACAGTGTTAGGGAAGAAGTTATTGATATTTTATACGCTCACAAAACGCTGGATATGCAAATACCGTATTGTATATCTCTGCTATTGGTTAGAACAGAGTTGAAATAATTACCCACACTTGGTCAGTCTATCGATTCCGGCGCAAAATGATTACAACCGAAAACAATGTTTTTAATGTTTCGATGTTTTGTGGTGATGTGCGAACTGTGACAACCTTCTGAAGTAGCAACAATGTCCTTGTAAAGCCTGATTATGGCTCCAGTGAATTGATGAGCTGAAACTAGTTGCTACCGCAACCATTTGGATTACAAAAAATACAAGTTTTTTTCAAACCACTTATTATAATGGTTACATTGGTAATCCGGAGACTATTCATATTGAAAAATCCAGGTCCTGACTTTTTTTCCAACAAAAGAAGTTTTCTTGAATATAGGGCCTATTACAAACACTTGTAAAGCCAGCTGGTCTAGTGGTAAGTGCGGCACTTCCGTCCATCAGGTCCTGCCTTCAAATCCTGACAATCAGGCAATCACAAATGGATTTTATCAAAGTGAAAATGCCCCGACCCTCTAGACCTAGCCAGAATCACAGAGCAGTAGAGTAGGCCTACTAGAGAAAACTTGATTAAGGGACAACCGGGCGCTTCCAGCTCTATTATGTTGTGGAGGAAATATACTTGAGACAAGTAAGGAAGAGCCCAAGAAACTTCCTACCGCACAGGGCACAGGGTGTTGCTCCACCGTGAGCATTGTAGTACATGAGGGCTAGCCGGGGCGGTGTTGAACTTTGTCCCAGACACCAGCGACTAGTCCTAGACACCATTTAAGTACCGTATAGGTACCATTGAATGTAACCTCTACTGTACCTTACTTTTCTGTGCCAAAGGTAATAAGTAAAACAGTGTCAGACAATGATAGCCTACTATGATAGCGGCAGGACATAAAAATCCAAATAATCTAACCTGATCAGACTCCCGGTTGCAGGTTATCATGAGTGAAGTGGTGATTGACTTGTTATGACCGTGGTCCGTGTGGTTAAGGACATCTCCACTGGCGTAGGTGAGTAGGATCCAATCACCTGCAAAGGAATTGAGATATTATAGTTTGTTCTAATAACGAAGGGGTGGTTGGAGATGGGTACAATAAATAAGGTTTGTACTCAGTAACCACAGGAAGGTACCATCCAAAACTGCCTTCGGTAGGCCTACTTGAACAAACTATAACAATTAAGATGCTTTAGGTACTATTAATAAACAATCCTAACATGTGGTGCCACTGTTTATATTTTGGTTGGCAAATAATATTTCAATTTTAGTAATAGGTCTAATAAACTTTGTTTACATTTGGGCTAAGTTAGTGAGGTAGTTTTTTATGTTCATTTTACTTTGCATGAAAAAAATTCCACACAATTTAAATACCACCTTAAATGTGTGATAGGTATACCGTATAATAAATTATTCAACTTTTCCGGAGAAAACGAGAATCATTTTTGAATTCAGGACATTATTTGGACAGTTTGGACATCATGATCCACCGCCTTGTATATAGTGTATATAGACAAAGTTTTAAAGTTTTAATTTTTCATTTGACGCAATCTATCCAGCTATGGCTGGGCAACGATGAAGAACCGGTAAAGGTAAAGGTAAAGGTATTGAGCATCATAACAGTGGGAAAGTAGTAGGCTTACCTATTGTGACATCTGTGATCAAAGATATAATTTATCAAAGATATCAATCTGGCAACTGGTAAGTAACTTAGCCTAATTGAAGTCTTTTAGGATTACAATTAGTGATGTAAAATACCCAGGTATATAAAACTCGGGGTAAATACCCTGGGTATTTACCCGGGTAAATACCCAAAATCCATAAATACCTGGGTATTTTGGGTATTTATAAAATCAATTGAAATTCATTTATATTTACCCCTAAATATGTTATTGTTATTACATGATAAATTAGGATAGTCAATAACACCTTTTAACTTGAAGCTATGCTTGCTTAATGATTTAGCACTTTTTTTTAATAATACATAAAGTTTCTAAATAAGCATGGGGTTTTGTGTCTTAAATCGAGTAACATCAGTTAAATTTAACTCACTAAAAATAGTACCTATATATTAAAAAAGGCTGTGGCTATTTCAATTTTTATAATTTCATAAATTTATAACCAATAAAAAAAACTTAAACAAAATTATTTTAATTTATAAATATCCAGGAATTGTTGGGTACTTATGATGCAAAATTTTTATTGTATAAATGGTTTGGAAGGCTAGACATCTAAGGCCTATTTGACATCTAGGCAGAATGATACTTTTAAGTAGGCTTAATTAAACTTTTCTGTGTTACCGCTTGGTTGGAAACAATAATATATTTGGATAAACCTACTAAAAAAACGTATCTCCTGTTTTTTGGTCGAACCTAATATAATTTTGAAAGATTTATTGTGCTATAGATTCCAATGTTTTGTATCACAAGTTGGCCTTTATGAAATTAGTTTTTTTTTTTTTTTTTTTTTGATACCATTGATACCAACTTAAGATTTAGAACAAAAATATTAAATCCTGCCATCCTACAGATTGAATTTTAAAATTATTTTTCTTAAGTTGTTTACACATAGGCTACTACTAGGTTAAATTTTCCTGTCTTCTAATAATTATTAGGTACTTTGCAAATTATTTTTTTTTTCACTTTCAATCAAATAAATTCATCTATCTATCATAGAAATTAAAAAATCATAAGTAGTCAGGACCAGTGCAGCAACCATGCGACCAGGGTATTTATGCCGATGATAACCAGAAGTAAAATGCCAGTAGTGACCATATGAAATTTTGTTTAACACATTTTATCATCATTTTACTATCCTTGCAAGGTAATAATTGCAAAAAAAACATCTAAATCTTCTCTAACTTTAATAAAAATTATAAATACCCAGTTTTTGGGTATTTACCCGGGCCTGGGGTAAATACCCGGGTAAAAACCCAATTTATATTTACCTACCCACTGGGTATTTACCCGGCCCACATCACTAATTACAATGAATGTCCGAGAAAAGTGAGTAGGCCTATTGAAACCAGAGAGACTTTAAAATCAAATCTCGCAAATCTGGGGTAAAGTTTCATTCAGCTAGGCTTTTTATTTTTAAGGCGAACAATGGTTAAAGCAGGGCTTATGACAGACCATAAACAGGCCTTTCTTAAAATAATGCTTGGTTCTAATAAGTTAACTTAACTTACTTCCACCGACGATGTGTGTGTCATTCAAACGACCGATAACTGTTGTATTTTTATCTGTGTTAAAACTTCTAGCTGCAGCAGCATTTGGATAATTTTTGGAAACTTCACTACAAATCGTAACAGCATATGTGAAACCTTTGTCAACAACCACAAACCTAAAAACAAACAATTGATTATGTTCAAATGATAAAAAATACCTAAGTAGATTAAGTAAGATGCTACTTGCTCCAGGCAACTTTTCTTCAATAAGCTGTAAATAGGCAATCTATGAATATTCACGATTAAGAGGAGCTGATTGCCACATCCTATGGTCATTAACCTTTAGAAACCCCATTATTGTTATGGATGTTCAATTAAATGTCTAACAACCATTTTTCTGTTTGTAATTAATTGTTTTAATTAATTAGTTAATTGGTTTATTAACAAAAATATAAACAAAACTGTTAAGAAATCATAACCTCTTAGGCCTACACCAACCTTTGACTGTTTAACAAAGATATTCTATTGAGAAGCTGCTTTTTACTTTCCGGGATTGGTTTGTAGTGAAGAGAGCATTCTTCGCAGAAGCAATAGCTTACAAATAATAAATAAAACATTAAGCTTAATTTAAGTATCATGGTTAGTTCAGTCGACGTTAGTTTCTTCCTTCAATAGTTTAGTTTCAGTTTGTACTAGTTTGTAGTTTTTTCAATTGAACTTGTCCGCAAAACGCGAGCCTTTCAAGACCGGAAAATGCCGCGCGTCTGCGCATGCGCAAGTAAGCGTTATTCGAAGCACTTGTAACAGCTGCAGCTGTTTCAGAAAATCACACTAGTATCTTCACTGCAACTCTTGCAACAATCTACTTTAAACTGGAACGGTTCTCCCGCGCTTAACTCCAAACAAACCATTTAATTACTGTAACTGAATGAAGAATTTTACAGATTATGTTTATGTATGTGTTCCTTTACTTACTGTAACCTCTGGCACCTCCTTTATTTTATAAAACAAATTTTAAGTAACTTGGGTGTGCTACGTTACCGTTATCATCTATTCATCTATCTTCAATTGTACCCAAACATGTTCCTTTTCCAAAAGAGAAGATCCCAATTCTCATTGCATTTTTAATGGTCTAAGCTTTTTGAGAATTATTCATTATTGGAATCTTGCTTACAATGAAATGTATAACAAAATGTAAATGTTCAACAACGCTAATACATAATAATTTATTTCATTCACTAGCACTTTCAGAAACTAGGTTTCCATTCAAAAGCGCTAGTGAATAAAACAAATTATTTTATTGGCCTTGCCTTGTTGAACATAGCTGGCTTATTAATTGGAATCCTTCTGTACTTCTCGTCCATAAACTAAGAATAAACTTTTCCACATAAACTACAAAGTACTCCAGTGTTATTGATGTCTTCCATTACCCTACTCGTATTTCTAAGAATTTTCGCATTGAAGAAGGAGCACATCATCGATAATAAATGACCTCCGCAACACAGCAGCAATCAAAATCTATCAATAAGATTAACCCCAACTTCAACACTCAGACATAACTCGATCATAACATAAAGAATAACAAACGATATGAATAATAATTATGAGGAACTAGTTGCAGTGCAGTCAAGATAAATACTACGACAACGACGCTAGTTAGTGGTTAGTGACTGTGACCCTGTGACTTTCTGAAATAGCTGCTGCTACGCCACCAGTTACTAGCGCATGCGCAGAAGCGCGGCATTTTCCGGTCTTGAAAGGCTCGCCCCAAAACAAAAGCAGACAACAGATGTTTTACGCATAGAGTATATAGTTTATAGAGTTATGCTGTACATTGATTATCAGCATAATTTTTTTTTAAGTTGATGACTGTATCAATACTCAATACATTGTATATATTGGGTACAACTCAATTTGTTTCCGGTGAAACCCACAATATTAGTTTCCACAAATACACTTTTATTCGTATAAAATAATACCTCAAAGTTAACCGAATCGTGGTTACCACTTAAAAATCGAACCATTATGTTCAGTCTAAATAGGCTGTAAACATATATTTAAAATACAGTATTCTTTAAAGATAGATAATACAAAAGACTCCTATAACACAAGGCCGCGGTGAAACAAAGTGACAACACTGTTGTCCCGGCAAATCGAAACGCTGGTGCACGCGGGCGGCCCCTTAACTTGCTTAACCCCAGGCCGTTACCTGGTAGAATTGGCAACGTCGCAAGTAGTGTTGTTTAGTGTTAGACGTCCTAATAGAATAACATTACAGACAGGTGACACCAGGTCATTAATTCGTCAACTATTCATTTAGATGTAAATTTACGAACGTAAATTTATTAAAATATTGAAAATGAAACATATAGAATTGAAACCCGAATCAATTTATGTTTAAAATATGTTTCTGTATTTAAAGTGGAGTGTACACAAATAACAATTTAGCTGCTTCCAAACAAAACAGCTGTTGAAAACTACTTGCGACGTTGCCACTTCGAAGGCCTGGCCTGGTTAATGGTGGCCGTGCTTGAACAGGCAAGCCGATTTTCAAGAAGCCACCATATCCTTTTAGTCGATCATTTACTCCTTATACCTGTTGGAATCCATCACACTTGCAAAAAATCAACATTTACCATAAGATCAGAACATCATCAATACCACCTCCGTAACACACATAACATAGTCTAGCCACAACATCGATCACAGAAATTCAACAACAGTCCCAACTACATTTTATAATCCCATCGAAAAACCTGGTAACTCTTCAATAGCAAACTGGAGCAATACTAAACAGCTAGGCCATACTACACATGCAGTCACCGAATTCATTGAAGAGCACACCTTCCAACACATGATACATGAATAGGGCTAAAAGCCATTTAAGAAGACTTTCTGGTCCCAGGAAGTAATGTGACGACTCCCGGATCCCTGGATTGTGGAGAAGACATCGGGTGGTAAATGGTCAGGAGGAGCTATGACGACAATACTCTTTGTCATGGAAACGACTGATGGACCCTGCTGTTCCTGATCATTAGGCTTTAAAAAGGATCCTGACTAATCAAACAGTCAATTACAAAGCTACACAGATCATCGATCATCTCACTTCATTCAACCCGACACTCATCCTTTTCTCATATTTGGTATTTAAGTTAAAATAAAAATACGCAACTAGGTGGTGCCCCTATCTCAATTATTAACAATAACCCAAATTATTTATGTACTGTATATGCCCTATGCCCTAATGTAGACACAAAATTAAAAAGATATAAAATATGTATTGAACTACGCGGCTGCATGGTCAAGCCAATTTTAGCCAAGTGGAAAAAATGGTAAACAACCATCATCATTAAGCAAAATATAAACAATAAACATAACCTAAAAACCTCACCCAGCTCCCAGCTAGTCCCGTCTCCCGTCTCTCTCTCTCTATAGTCTATACTAGGCCTATAGTTAAGTTAAAGTTACCCTTTTACTATTCTGTTTGGGTTTGGTTTCAATGTTGTTTTACGCTTTAAAACTAGTTAGTTGTTGTTGATCGTGATGTAACCATGAGTTTACAGTTTTCTTCGTTCAAAGAGCTACAACATTTCATTGTTGAAAAAGAAAAACGAGAGTTGATTCAGTTGACAATTAGAGATTCTAGAACTATAGCTGCAGCAAGGAAGAAAGGGATAAAACGGTTTATGAAAAGTGAGTTGGTATATTACAATATCAATTATGTGTGTATTCATGGAGGTGTGCTCAAAAGTAAATCCAAGGGGCTTCGACCAAAACAGAGGTAAGTTTTCCATTGCTAAAGCCCTCGCCATTATTATTGTGATTCTGTATAAGATAGGCCAACCAACTGTAACCTTCAAGGGGGCGCTTGCTGGGTTAGGCTCCGCACTTAAATAACTACTCAATTGGTGTCGCCAGTCATGTCCGGCCCTCTACTAGACGTGCTAGGCCTAAGTTACATTCCTGGATTTTCCCAAAACATTTTTTACACCCACCCTTCTCCTTAAATGTTCAATCAGGGATGTTGCGATATGACCGATCTTTCAATACTTGGTATCGATACCCAGCAGAACTGCAGTAGCCTAATGATACCACAGAAGTACATCGCAACAAAAGTATCTAGGGCCTAAGCCTACAGGTACCATAAGTTATTGAATAAGTACAGTAGGGTAGGTAAGTTAACTTATAAAATCAAATTTTTACAGTTGTATAACCACAACTGTAAAAATTTCACTCCCCCAACTCACCTAAAACTAGTGATGGGTCAAACGACTGATTTCAACCATTCCAATGTTTCGTCCGATGGTTTTGCTTTCATCCGATAGTCATCAGATGGATGATTCATCCGATGGTTTTTAGTGTAGTGGGGTGGAGAGCGTTGGTGCTGCTTCCCAGAGACAGATAAAACTATCCGACTAGAGAATTAATTGAAGTAATTGACGTATCCAAATGCATGTACATGTCTGATGGAATAAAATATTGATTCTTGATTCTTGAAATGAATGGATAAGTTAAACCTCCTGTTCGTGCGCCTGATCAGTTATAGTTTTGGTAGTATTGTATTGTGGCGTTTCGCGTTCCTATCCTGCGCTATGTTTTGGAGAATTTACCTGTGCATGAATAAACAGATAAATATATGTTTTGCATGATAATAGAACTAACATGTACTGTCAGAAAATTACTTTCCTCTTCTATGTTTTATTTTTATAATAAGTATATTTACCGGTACGGTAGGCCTACTTATTTTTCATTTGTTTAAAATTATTTAAAATAAGTAAACTTAATTCATGTTTTCTTAAGGTTTGTTATTTACTATTAAGGCCTAGGGAGACAATTCCCATTTTGAAGTTGCTTGGTTATCTAATTATTTCTGGCAATTAGGTTATGGGGGGGCTTCGGTTAACATGCTAGGACCCTGAGTCCAACCCTCTCACAATACAATACAGTGTCCTCTACATAATACAATCAAGTACCCATCCATCTTGTCTTTCCAGGAATATTCGTGGCATCGGAAATCACCTAATTTAAGGGAGACTTTCCCGCCAACAGTAGAACATGAGTGGTTTTCTACTTAACTTTTCCATGAATCCATCTTGCAGATCATTCAAAGGGACCTTAAATTAAATAAATCCCCACGTTAGTGTTTTGGTATGCTAATTTATGTTATGGTTGCTTGTTTTAAAATCACAACCTCACTAACATTTTTTTTACAGCACCTACAAACAAGAATGTCCATTTATTATGAGCTTCAGGGTTTCTTCTGACGGCAGAACTTTGGATTTGATATCCATCGTTGATGACCACAACCATGATCGAAATATGGTAGGCTTATCCCTATGTAGGCTAATATAAATTACGTAGCAAATATAAATATACCTCTTTTATACAAACTTATTTCAAATTTAAGTAGGCCTACTGTGTTTTATTTTGTTTTATTTATTTTACATTCCAACGGACAGCTCCATTTTGATATTTGGTTCAATTTAGTGCAATGACATACAAGACTTACTTAAAGCTAGTTACAGTAGCCTCCCTCTTATCCGGACACCTTTTAACTGGACATCAGTTTAACCGGACTACACTCGGCGGAAATGACATCTCTTTCACCGGACAATTTTTATCAGCACATCGGTATAACCGGACTAGATCGGCAGGAAGTGGGTGGTACCTACTGAAATGACTGTTCTCGTGGGAAAGATTTAAAACCAGTGATCACGTGTGTAAATACAATGCTCTCCTAAATTTATGTCAAATACTGTATACAGTATGCATTTAAATGTTCCGTTTTAACGAGTTTTTGGGGACATCGGTTTAACCGGAAAAACCGTTATCCGGACTGGCCTCGGTCCCAAGGAGTCCGGATAGGAGGGAGTCTACTGTATACAATGCAAATGAAAAACAATCTTTTTGTTTTAAAAAGTAGACCTAATTAAACCAAAATTAAATAGGCCTAGGCCTACATAACTGAACATGGTGACCTCAATTGTTTACTAATTTCAATTCAGATCTACTAACACAGTTAGGTTGATGGTCTTGATTAAAATTCAACATATTATGCTGTTACCATTACATTACCAACTATATTCATTATGATAATGAATAGCCACCAGAAGATTTTAATTTTTAAACGGTTTGGACAACAATTCTTTGTTAGATCTGTCTTTCTAATCATATGTTACAATAAATTAAAAATATAAAAGAAACAAATTTATATTAGTTTCAAACTAGCTCCTTTACTTTCTATTATGTATCACAAAGTCTTTCTATTAAGTATTTATTACTTCTAAAGAAATTGAGATTTAATGTTCTTTTTCGTTGGGTTATGGTTTATGGTAGATAATAGTTTTATGCCAATAAAAAATCTCAAGTAAAATTAATTTAGGCTACTTTGATGAGTATTGTTAAAATTATAAGTTCAAATCTCAAATTTTTTATTCCTTAAATTCCAACCAAAATTTTCCCCTTAAAATAATTGAGTTATAGAAACTACAATCAATCAGACTTAAGTAATCAAAGTACGAGATGTGATATAAAATAGGATAGGTATCTAGAAATTAAGCTCTCTTTGAGGGTAATCAGTGTACCTATTCTAAAAGTACTGTTTACTCAAACCATAGGTCAAATTTTATCAAAACTACCAATAAGTTAATCCTTTTGTGACTAATTCCAATGCTTTTTCTATAAGGTGAATGAGGTAAAAAATATGATTCTTTATCTAACCAAGGAGTCTCATTTGTTTGCTGACTAAACTATTAAAACCTTATTTAGCCTTCCTATGCTATGGACAGATATATCCGTCAATCTCCGTTTGAATTAAAACTTCAGCATAATCATACTCCCTAAAATACTTCCATACAGAGCTTGGTATGAATCAAGTAAAAAGTGTATTTTGTTTATTGTTTAATTCTTGTTAGCCTATTTAATTAATTTAAAAACAAACTAAACTTTTTAAAGTTCATTGTTGGTGATGGTGAGTTAATGTTGTTCAAAGGTTTATTACGGACATTTTCCATCACGATTGTAAAAAAACAATATACAACGCTTCGGGATCTGGAATCTGACCCCGTCCTCAGGTGAAAAAACTTAACTAACACGTTACAACTAACAATACACAAACACCCGAACTAAGTTGGAATACACTACAGAGCATATTTTTTACTGCTACCCTCTGTAGTGTATTCCAACTCGAGCACTGAAGAAATCTATCACCTCCACTTGACCCTTAGCTCATATTAATAGCTCAACATCTATAAGCAACATGTATTAAAAGTGGTGGGGTAACTTCCCTTCAAACTGCCTAAACTTTATAACCTAAAAAAAGTAGGTATCATAAAATGTTCACACAGTAGTGCATGCATTTTTAAATTTTAATAATAATTTCCACTGTTTTTATTCACATAGACAATACATTTACTGTGCTAAAGCAAGCTATTTCTTTGTCCATTTAAGTTTAAATCATCACCCTATTGTAATATTTGTGGAGGAATGATTATATTATACAGGGTGGTAAAAAAGTCCCTGGACAGTTAAATATTTTAAAAAATAAGGTAGATAGAGCTACAATAATTGGTACAAAGTTACAGGGCATAAAACTCTATTTTAACACATATTCAGTGATACAATAACTCTTCAGGGGGACAGCCCACAAGGAGTCGGAAGAAAATCTTAAATGGAAGCATAGGTCAATATGCACATCAAATTAAAGGTCTTTTTTAGTAGAATACAATGCCACAAACCGCACTTCAAAAGGTTGATCCTGCGCAAAATGGCAGATGTTCAAAGATTTCTTGAATCCGCCATTTTGAATCTTTGAACGACTGCCATTTTTTACTCAGGCATTCTTTTGAGCTTAAATTTACGGCATCGTAATCTACTAGTGAAGACCTTTAATTTGATGTGCATATCGACCTATGCTTACGTTAACAATTTTCTTCCGATTCCCAGGGCTGTTCCCCCTGAGGAGTAAGCGTATAATAGCAATGTAAATTAAATAAACCTTTGAACAACTGTCATTTTGCGCAGGACCAACCTTTCGAAGTGCGGTTTGCGGCATTGTATTCTACTAAAAAAGACCTTTAATTTGATGTGCATATTGACCTATGCTTCCATTTAAGATTTTCTTCCGACTCCTTGTGGGCCGTCCCCCTGAAGAGTTATTGGATCACTGAATATGTGTTAAAATAGAGTTTTATGCCCTGTAACTTTGTACCAAGTATTGTAGCTCTATCTGCATTATTTTTTAAAATATTTAACTGTCCAGGGACTTTTTTACCACCCTGTATTATCGACCAATAGTCATGACTGCTATAAATATAAAATTATTAGATGTATGTTAGGGTAATTTTTTATCGGTAAATATGATTAACCATATGTATTTCTTACAGGAGACTTATTCACTTCTACCACGACAGCGGCAGCTAAATACAAAATCTCAAGAAATGGTGAACTATATGCTAAAATTGAGAGTTGACAAGAGAACACTACAAGCTAAGCTTCTACCCTCAAAGAAAAGGCTGTCGAAAGACCTACACAACGACGATACGGAGAATGATTTAGGTCACAATCTTCAGGATACCTTAAACTATCTTGAAAGCCAAGATGGAAATATAATTAAAATTTTTATTAATGAAGAAAACCAATTTTTGGGATTATTTTATCAGGACATTGAAATGCAAAGGACATACTCAACGTATCCTGAAATTTTGTTTGTTGATGTTATTGATAGTGTGTCAAATTTACAAATTCCATTGTACATTATTCTCGTTGAGGACAGCAATGGAGACCCGGAAATCGTAGCTTTTATGTTACTTGCTTCAGAGGATGCCTTCACCGTTGAGAAGATGGTTGAGGTTTTTAAGAAGTGCAACCCTGCATGGAAAAATACATTAACAATCATGATTGATAAGGACTTCCAAGAAAGAGAAACTTTTAAAAAAGGGTTTAAAAATGCAGAACTGTTGATTAGTACTTTCCACACCTTGAGGTCCTTCAAAAGAGAAATTACCTGTGATAAAATGGGAATTTCTAATGGAGAAAAAATGCTGTACCATGAGTATGCACGGAAACTGACGTATTCTAAAAATGAGCAGGAATACAATTCCATCTACGATGAGATCAAAAGGTTTAAACTTACCAAGTTTATTAATTATTTTGAGAAAAATTGGCATCCAATAAAAGAGAAATGGGTCCCAGCTCTTCAGATTGCTTCTACTTTTGGAAACATAATAAATAATGGATTGGAATCAATCAATTCTAAAGTCATGCAGGTTGTTCAGAGACATCCAATGCTTCCAGATCTATTCCAAAATCTAGACTGCTTGTTGCTGAACTTAAGAGCAGAGAAATGTGCAAAGGCTGCTAAATTTAATGTGAAAGTGCCTTTAAATGTTACACTTGCACATGAAGATCAGAGTCATTACTTGCAGGTTCTAACACCATATGCCTTTGTCTTAGTGAATGATAAATTTGCTCTCATGAATAAAGTCGAAATCATTACTGAAATGTCAACAGGTGAATTTCTTATTGCTTCTTCACGAGGTGTCCTAACTACTTCAAAAAGTAAATGTAGCTGCAGATTCTTCTGCTCCTACAATTTACCCTGCCACCACATCTTGTACATTAGACAAAAAGAAGGTTTACCCCTCTTCGACAGCATTCTCGTCCCTACACGATGGACTAGAGAATTTTACCTGAAAAATAGTCGTTTGATGTTAACAGACACTACCAGTTGTCATGAAGAGATTGTTGATAGAGAATTGTCTGAAACTGTAGAGGAAGTTTTGTCACCAAGCGACAAGGACTGCATTGTCACTTCGAAAATTGAAAAAATTGCCTCTCTGGCCTTGGAGGCATCTAGTAGTCTGTTTCCCCAAAGGATGAAAGTCTTAAATGACATTATTAGACTTTGGGAACAGGATAAAGAAGTTGCTGTGATGGAGGTTGAAAGTTAAACTCAAGTAGTACCGGTAGATCCTGACTAGATTTGATTCACCTGAAGTAATTATTCAGTAAAATCAAGAGGAGTCTTCATCTACAATGCAAAGGTTTTGGACCATGATTATCAATAATTATGTAGGCTATTGGGTATATAAGTATAGACAATAGAGTAAATATAGACTGTCAAAGAAAGGTTTTGTGATCTGCCGCTAGATCGTTATCACCGTTCTATATCGGTTATCGGTATTCTATTCGGTTTCATTGTCGACTACTTGCCAGCTGTTACCAGGACTACCACTCTTGCAAACGAAATGCTTACTATATCGCTAGTATTGTCTTCTGCAATCGTGTCAAAATCATGAACATCTTCCGCGACCGACATCATTATTGAATGCCATGGTTCCGAAACGTCATCGTCGTCCACGATTGCAGCAAAATTGAGAACATCTTCAGCGGCCGTGGACGTGATCGTTTTTTACCGCGGTCACAAAAACGTCGTCTAGCACGGTCGCGGTTTAAGAACATCTCCCGCAGTCGTGTAGACACCATCATCTTGCGCCGTCACGGAAACGTGATCGTTGTCTAGCACGATCACGGTAAAATTATTAAATTTCCCGAATTTGATATCAAAATAAAGACTAAATCCCAACTTTTCAAGACCATTTTGAGATTCAAAACTAATACCTGACTTTCCCGTTTTCCCCGACTACTAAGACACCCTAGTTAATTAGATTTTGACCTTGCAAATATGAAACAAAACCTTACAATAAACCACTTCCTAATATTATGGATTAACACGTTCGCTGCGGGCCATCAAACAGCAGGCGTAGCCCCAGTGCGGCGCAGCCCGCAGCGTCAAACAAACCCGATTACCGGGTTATTGGCTCTCATATTTCGGTATGACGAATAGCAAATAATGTGCGGTGATGTCCTGCTTTATAACAAGAGTCGACGTGGTTCGCTAAACACTCACAGATACACAGTGGTACTGCTTGGAACGTAGCCGGTCCCATAGTATTGCCAATTTGGGGGAGAAAGACGGGACAACAAGTTGATTTTTAAGTTTGTCAGACAGGGATTTTATGGGGAAATTTTACTACCAACCTACAACACAAGAAAAAGCAAGTCACCCACTACACGCTAACGTGGTATAGGTACGCCTTCGACCGACGCTATAGCAAAAACTATGATATACGAAAGGCATTGCCGAGCGTATCCCATCGGTTACGGCAGCACCTGAACAGCGCTCGGCCCGTATCCGATCAGATACGCCCGCAGTGAACGTGTTAATAAAGAAAAACTTTGAATAATTGTAATGAAACTACAAAAGTATAACAAATATTTGTTTTAAAAAATACAATAAATGATGGCATTTAAATTAATTTATTGCTTAATATTAAATAAGTCAGTAAACTCCAATTCCGGGGAATTCCTCCAAAGTTGGCACCACTACTCCCAACTACCAAGTTGTTATGGAAACGGTCGCTAGCGCTTGATGCTGCAGCGGTGTGCGCCGTAACTACACATTACCCCTAGCGGTCGGTGCCGGAATATACGCTAACCGCAGCACAGCTGACAGTCTATATTTATTTCTTTTTGTCTATGATATAAGTTAGCCGAGTTGTAAATAAATCAATTATATATTTGTAAATGAATTCCATAAATGCCAGTTTTAAACTGTATAGGGCATTGGATAATTTGAGCCATATTCAAGCAATGTGAATGTTAAGCCTGAAAAGAGTGTTGTATCTAAAAGGTATTAACTATATCACCTAATTATTTCTATAATATTAAAACATTATTTCTTTAAAATATTAGGTTTGATTTGCTGCTTAATCATCTATTTTGTTACATGAGGCTCTATCGAGTATTTTACTCATTATTTTTACATTTTGAAGTACCGGTATTCATATCTATATTAAGACATGTTCAGTCAAATTTAAAAGGGATTTGCTCTTTTCTCCTTGTGAGTTTTATTTTTATTTTAGTGTTGCAAATCATAATTTTGGGTAAGTAAATTAAATTCTTTTAGTATTTAACTAGTAAACATCTCTTGCCTCGTCAATTCAAAATTAAATCAAAATTATTAGAAAATTTAAATTTTCAAATTAATTAATTAATTAATTGTTGAATATCCTCTCCTTCACATTCGGCATAGTTGTATAAAGTTTTCATGTATATAATTCAAGTGTAATATTATGTTACGGTTTTTATACTTTGTGTTGATTGTTTTAATTGTTGTAAAAAAGTAATGTAAATAAAATGAACTGAATATTAAGGTATAAGAAGGCATTTTAATTTAGAAACCATCCTGAGAGAGTTTCATTTATACACTGTAACTGATCAGCATTGTACGTGTTATAAAATTAACAGAAAGTAAATAAAATATACATCAGATAACACTAAAACGTATTTACGCTTATACTGTTAACTCACAAGATGGTAAATATACATAAAAGATGATTGGACACTCCAATCATTAGGCCTAATATCATTTGTTTATTGGAGTGTCCAATCAAAATTACCACTTACCATCTTTTATGTATATTTATCTTGTAAGTTAACAGTATAAGCGTAAATATATGTTTTAAGTGTTATTAGACGTTCTTTTTACGTTGTAGATTGCTTTAAAAATATGAGGTTTTAATCATAAATTCAAAAGGATTGATTAAATTACATCAAGGACAAGATAGTCAAACAAAAGGGTAAATTACACACTAGACCAGTTGCCAACTATGAACACTGTAATTTTCTAGTGGTTCATATAGTTCAGTGGTTCACACATCCTGTGGAGGCTCATTATTGAACCAGTTGCTATATTGACCTTTTGAACTGATTGCCATAAACCATTCACTGGGTGTAGGCTTAGATGCAGAGTTCTAGGTCAACAGCTGATAGGCTTAGCCCTAGCTTATATATTGTTTGGTGCAAGAACAAATCGTCAGATGTTATTTTATTATTTTAATTTTTTTTGAAATTTCTATAGTCCTGTAACGTATATAAATTTATTGTTTTTGAGCAGCATATATACTAGTTTTATTAAATTAAAAACAAAAACTAAAAACAATCCTACTTTTACAGTTCTCATTGTGTATCACACCTTTTGTTAAGCTAGTTCAAAAATTAGCTGTTGTCATAAATTAAAAACAAAAAAATAATGGTGTTACACCCTTAAGGTAAACCTTGTACTTTATGCCATTCAAAATCATAGTAGCAACCAACTTGTTTAATTGAAGCAGCTGTTAAGATTAATTAATTACTGTACTTGAATACTCATCATAAGGTTAATATAGGAAACGCCAGAGCCACTGGGGCAGAGCCCGAAAGTCACATCAGAATAAAAACTACTTAGTTTTCCTATTTAATGCCAAATGGCCAAAATAATCAATGAACCAAATGTCTGTCTCCTTGGTAAATGTGAAGTTAAGGAGAATTAGTGAGTGAGTGAATTATTATTGGTTTTTGAATTAAAGAAATAACATAACGTTTAACAAGTACCTAGGTTTGCTGCTACAGGGAGGGTAATAAAGTGTTTTTGTGAAAGATTTATAGCTTAGCTTAGTACATTCACTACTAATCTTAGGGAAATTCGCTAAAAAATCAGTAGCTGGAACAGTAATCTATTTAATTTTAAAACCTATTTATGATAATATTTTTATCTTATTTCTGAAAGAGGTACATCAAACACTGGGTAGATAACATTATGTAGAGCAAACTGTATGAAAGGAATATGAGGCCTGAACTAGGAATATTACTGATCTGTGAAATATGAAAAAGTTCAAGTTGAAAGTAATATGATTATGTACAGTAAGAGAGATGCTAAAAGAAGAAACTAAAATTATATAGGTACATGTTACGTAAAACATTAAACAACCAGGAATATGTTAGCATGGCTTCGAGTCACTCATAAAATTTACAACTGTACCGGTACTAAGTAAGGATTGAAACTAGTGTAGGTCACTACAACATTTTTAATGCTCCCGCTAAAACCTAGGCCTAATTTAAATTTCCGCACCAGATTTTTTAAAAAAAAGCATAGATATTTAATCTGCATAACACTGATGAAATCGTGGAAGTTTTTACCACAGAAGATCCACCAATACGATTTCAATACTATAGGTTTATCTAAAAGCAAAAGCATTATTCATATTCCTCCTAAAAGAAGAGAAACCAGTTAACATAGTAACAATAACTCCTATGACCTACTGTATAAGAAATATGTTATTCATTGAATGATCAACCATATTTTGTAACTATAACGCGTTAGGCATTATTGTGTTTACACTTATTTTAACTCACTAAACTATGCTTAATGCTCAATTTTTTTTTTAAATGTCACTCTATTTATCGCAGTTGTAAGCCTTTAAAGCAACCGTTGATTTCGTCGCAATGATGATTTCGTTGCATGATTCACCTGGCAATAAATAAATAAACACCAAACTTGGCATTATTGTTCGTCAATACGTCAAGACAAGTCTCTTCTCAGAAGTTACTAGTAATTTGATTATTATAAGCCAATCATCGGTCTCAGGTAAGAGGCACGACTCTCGGCTTTTCAAACAATATTATTCATCAGGCATGTCTTGCCTAACCTAAAAGACATACGAAGTGATACGCCAAGCGACGTAGTCATACACTAGCTACTCTAAAATCCCTGCGAGTAGCAACAGATACAAATGACACATAGTAAACTACCACGGCTTTAAATCACAATATTGTCCTATAGTCTTGAACTTGTAAGCAGTAGTTTATTTGCAATCAAAGCCATATTGGTTTTTTGTGCTAAAATTATTCAAAATTACTAATAAATAAATACACTTCTAAGTTACATGTTTGAGTGACATCTAGCGGTGACCAGATGAACTGCGGCGAACGTTAGAGACACCTAGCGGTGACTAGACGAACTGCGGCGCACATTAGAGACACCTAGCGGTGACTAGATGAACTGTGGCGAACATTAGAGACACCTAGCGTTGACTAGACGAACTGTTGCACGCCTTGTTCTTTGTATTAGAATAATTGACAATTGGATACTGAAGTTATATATCAATTAATAGTCAAAGGTTTATCGTGACCTTGCCGTGACAGGTCCGCTTAATTCGGTTTTAGAGAATTTGGTGACGAAAAAACCCGCAGCAAACTGCAGACCAAGTTAATTTTAACCTGATTGGATTTTTACGAACAAGTCAGATTATTTGTTCCCTATAACATGATTTCCGACGAATAAGGTTTGCTGCTAGATGGAAGGAAAAGGGGGGTTTTATGATAATAGTCAGTTTAAAACCAAGAAAATTTTATAAAAAGCTATCCATAAACAAGCAAAACTACAACAGTTACTTCTTATCCATGAAAATAATAAGACAGAATTTATGTTTCTCTGTATCCTCGTACAACACTTCAATGTAAAAAATATTTTTTAATACTTTACACTCGAAGGCTGAAGTGAAAACTGGCTATTGTTGTGTTAAGGGCAAAAGTTTGAGAACCCTCATTTTATAGTAGTTTACGCAACGATTGTGTAAAGATAATTTTAACGACACGAGTAAATATTTTAAACTTTTTAATAACTTAAACGAGTGTCGTTAACACTATTTACCTAACCCGCCATGTTAAACTTCCCTATCCCAAGCGTGATGTATACAACTTCCTTACTTCTCGAGTGATGAAAAGTTGAAAAAAAAACTCACTCGGTGATGTAATGAAACCCATTTAAATAACATTGAGTGGATAACTTAAAAATTATACCTCTATGGAGCCAACGACGTTCAACGCTAGAAATCAGCTGTGTGTTTGAATTTTATTGTTATGCTTTTAAGAGTTTTCCTAACCTAGCTTTTGTTTGTAAATGAACGTTACTGTTAGAAGATGAGTGAAATTGATAATGAAGCATATTGCTCGTAACCTCCTGAATATTGTTGGGTCAGGTAAAATCTTGTACGTTACACGTTACGCAAGAGCGTGTTTACATCACTTCAGTGAATTATGCAACTCGCCTTCGCTCGTTGCACAACATTCACCTGCGTGATGTAAAAACGCTCTTGCTTCACTTGTAATGTAAATAGCTATTAAGCGAGTTGCGTACGCTACTTTACCTACGACAATGTTTAATTACAGTACTAACAGTCACTACTCATAACTTCTAAGAGAGGGGTTGTTTTCGTTTATAGCCGCTCATTGCCACTGACAGTGATGCAACGAAATATTGTACCAAACACAAATAGCACCACTCAAAAATTGGCCTGAACAGCTGATTAGTTGAAGTTCGAATCATTACAATGTTTACTTCTTCTCTCTCAATCCTTGAACCTACAGAATCCATTACCGTGTTGTTGTTATGAGTAAAACCATAGACAAAAAGAATTAAATATAGACTGTCAGCAGTGCAGTGGTTACCATAGCGGTTCTGGCGCAAACCGCTGGAAGCGCCGTAACTACATGGCACTCCCAGCGGTGTACGCCAGAACCTACGGTAACCACTGCACTGCTGAAAGTCTATATTTAATTCTTTTTGTATATGGTAAAACCATGCTGTGATAAAGTAAATCCATATTTTTTTTTAAATATGTTTAGATGCTAACTTGACCAGCTGGTAGATCACCTGTTAGACCACCACATACATCCGTAGTACGAAAATTTATTGCAGGTTTGAACTCAGTTTCGTAACGGTATTTACCTGCCTACCTTTGTTTTAAGTCTGAAATACAACACAAGCTCTCATTGTTGACTTCAAAGTGGGTTCGTAGCAGTGCCATTGAGCGATGGTGAAGCAATAAAGGTTTGTAATTGAAGTGGAAATGTCATGTCACATTGAAAGATCATGCGTCGGTCTCGTGGGACAAGGTGATCATTAGCAATCGCCCTAGAGTCTAGGCGAACTGGAAAATATGCTGTGGGCTAGGCCTTGGAGATAAATACATACACAGAATTCACTATTTGTATTGTTTATTACGGCTCTCACACTTAGTTCTATTCTTAATAATTTTTGGTTTCATGTTTAATAGCTTGCAAATTATGTGCTGGAATAATCTGATCAATGTAGATGGGGTCTTATATAAAAAGCAATTTATTCAAGAAAAACAGGCGTAACAAAAAATTGTTTTATCACAAATCTAGTTTTGATCCCGCACATTGTCTAAAACCCCCGATCGGGATAAGAATCTCGCGAATGGACACACTACTGACTCCAAAACAAATTAACGGGCTACTATATAGTAATGTTTCCATTTCTAAAAAACTACTTCAAACATCCTTTATTTCCCTAC